TAAATGTTTGTAGAAATGATAACGATCATGATGATGGTAAAGCATGGAATCAAAATACTGATCCTCCTAGAAAACGAGTTGTTAGTTTCTTTTCTATCCAAAGTTTTGTTTCAAAAATATTATTTGGGCCGGTTTTCATCTTTAAAGAAACTATTCCAATCATAAAACCTCGCCTAGACGCAAAATTCGCCTATAGTAAAGGTTTTTTTTTTCGATGTCAATTTAAGTTGAGAAAATTATCGTTGTAATAAGGACACGAAACACTTCTTGCAATTCTTATAAAGAAACCCTTAACGTCTCTGTTGTGCAGTTTTTCATCTTTGACCGACAGGCTTGCTTGCGTTTTTTGGTGTAATCAGTAACTTCTTCCAATTTTTCATCGATGTTTACGTGGTTTAGGCAACCATACGATTTCTTAGTATCGTAGTATTGTACTAGGAGTATTTAATATTTGAATCGGCCTTGCAGGATATTTTTTTAGGAAAACGCAAAGGAAGCTTATCGTATTTTTTGTGTTTTGTTTTGTTTTGTTTTTTTTTATTTTGGGCTCATTAACCAAAGACACGTACGAGGGGAACTGATGAAATAAAAATGCTTTATATTTAATGCCGAAAACACAGTGCCAGAAAGAGATTTTGCCACGTCTACTTCAGTAAACTTACTAGAAACATCACCGAAATTTTTTTCTTTTTCACAAGGAATGCTGCGTATTTTCAATTTCACACTTAATGCCAGAAAAATCTTATTATTTATTAAACTGCCTTCCTAAATTTAAAGCCTATGTTTTGGTCTGTACGAATTAAACTGATTTTAGAACTCAATAGACATTGCGTGTGTGTTTACTTAAAGACATAGAGCTGACCCCATCACTGATCAAATTGACTAAAATTTTTAGGCTTAAATTTAGTGAAGTTTTGTCGTACTTCTAAACCGCACGTTTCAAACAATTACTTATGACTGAACTTGAGTGAAATTTGTGGTTTAGTCTGTCAAAATTCAAAGCCATTTTCGACTTAAGACTGCCTATTTTGCTCATAGAAATGGGACGTATGAAAGACAATAATAACAGAAGGTAATAAACAGTACAATTAATCTGCTAATTGCTACTTAGCACCGGGTTTATTAAAAGCAATATGAATAAAGGAATTACGAACGTGCCTGAAAATTAGTATTGCCTTATTATTGATCGGTCAAATTTAAAGAAAAGCCGTTTTATATTTCCATTCTTTCAGAAGTACAAAATTGCCGGCTCAGATCAAAGTTCATTTCGGCGGATATTCCTAATTCGCAATGTGTAATGAAGTTGAGGCGGAAAAGTTCTAATGAACTTCACTTAATTTGCCTGATATTCAGTGATGAGATTGAAATTTAAGCCGGTAGAAATGATTATCGAAGAAATAACCACCAGGAAAAAAGTAATTTTTGTTTTCGATTCATTTGTGTCAAGTTTGTGTATGTTACTTCATGAACTTTGGGTGTGCGGCATCGAAGGTGGCTAAATCAGACTGAATTAGAAAGCCGATTGAGCTGGCGACAAAATATTCAACCTTAAAACCAGTAAGCGAAATTGTTTTCTACAAATATGTTTTTATTCTTTCCCGCCTACTTATCTATTATCGCTTGTAAAATGCATGACTTGAGCGCACTTTTACCCACTACGGCCTCAGCGGGACACTAGCAAAATAGCTGTACCAAAATGCGTCGTGGTGCGAAAACACAATGGCCACGTTGGGTTAAATGCCCTATTTTTGCTGCGTCCATCAGAAAAGTGGTATGAACACTCAACCTTTTTGTGTAACTTTTCAAAGGTGCTTATTCTGACACAGAGAAGAGGCGTGTTTCATGTGTTCTCCTTTCTTTAAATCGATGATCAAACGTCCACGAAATTACAAAGGATGAACTAAAAAAGGTGTCTCAACGAGTGGGATGTTTGTCACAACTCTTTACAAAAAAGTGCGAACTCTTTCAACTGATGATTTATTAAAAACCTGGGGAATATCAAGAAATTTGCAAGTGTTTCCTTAAGCCACACAACTGTACTTGTACAGAATGTCAAAAATTTCAATTTAGATCAAGATTTATGATTTAAAGTTTATTGTTTCTCTTCCCTTCGCTGGGAATGTACAATTTTGTCAGAACTCAGGTGGCTGCGTCGGAGATCCTATGAAGCTTTTTCGACTTAGAATTCTACACTACGCGCTACCTTGCCACCGCTGTGATATATATAAATATATCTATATATATATATATCTTTATTTTAAGCTACGGAAAACAAATAAACATGGTTATTTATTTTTGCGGTTTGATTCAGTCGATGGGCTTCATCTCTAACAATGGCGTCTTCCTTACTCTTAATAATTCACGCTCTCATGAGTACTAGAATTCATGATACAGCCAGTTTTGCGACCGAACTTTAAAGCTTTCAGTTTTCAGTGATGTATGTCTACGGTTCTTTGCCCAAATGAGCGAGTTAAGAGAATTTCCAAAGAGAATTCGATAAAGCAAGAGTTCTCTCTAGGATCAACGCCAGTTTCGCAAGAGAGACTGAAAGTAAAGCTGTTTCCTATTTTCGCCTTCCGTTTATGTTAAAAGAAAAAAAAATTCTGGATGTGGTATTGATTTACATTTCCTCACCCAAACCCTAGAAATTCGTCAAGTGAAGTTGCAACCCGATTTTGGGATGTGTTGAAAAGCACGTTACGTAAACAATAATCAGAAACTTTACAAGATTTCTTAAACTGAACTTGTCATGTATCATTTACAGGGTGGCTTTTTCGTGATTCCCATTTCTCCTTTGTAAAATATAGTCTTCAATTGACCCGTTTGGTTGCCTTCTTTACGCTATAATTCCCCTTACGCAACAACTTCTCCGCAAATCTACAGAAGCTTGTTGTTTTAATGCTGCTTTTAACAACAATAGCTTAGTGCACAGTTTGAATTTGTTTTTCTATTTTTTTCCCTAATTTAGTTTTCCTGCTGCGTGTTTTCTTAACACCGCTGCTCTGTGGCTTTCAATGTCTTTAACCCTTTAAAAGTGTTTAGTATGCCATTTGCTTTCTTGATTTTTAATTATATTATTTTCTTCTGTACTGATCAACTTGCCAATTTTCACGCTCGACAAGCATATGGAACAAAAACTTATAGAGGTGAGATTCGTATTTTTTAGTTCATTTCATGACGTAATTTTTATTGTTCAGGTTTGGACGAAAACTAGTGAAAGGAATCAATTTGGCGTACAAGTACTGGCAGCAAAACTGAGCCAACGCCCGTGTGCATCCAAAATATTTATTCGTTTTCAGTCACTGAAGCTGATTGTATTGAAGCTGTAAGGATAACAGTAGCTCTAATTGAGTTTTTGCTGTTAGTTACCCGCTTATTCGCCCTCAACAAAGGCAATTATCGGTTTTCCTGAACAGGTGATGCAACTGTGAGGAAAGTTTGTGACACTTCCGAACTTTGAGTCTTACAACAAAGCTTACAGCCAATTTGTTGTTGGAAAGAACAATGCTGAAGGCTTCAGATTAACCCCCTCCTAGCAATGAAAACTTTTAAATTTAGTTTTTTTTAGTTAATTGCTGTTTAATGACAAATGACAAATGACAAATACTTTTTAAAACTTGCTGTTTATATTTTTTGTCGACATACACGATATTGCTTACACACTGCAAGCTTTTTTCCCGTTTTTTTCTGTTATGCTTTGATTATTTGAGGAACCTTTTATCATCGAAGATTATCAGTGTTAACATAATTATTGAGGGAATAAAAGGAACAATAACATCAATTGACATCAAATGCTTTATGAAGAAGCATAAAAAGAATTCAGACTTTGGACAGCCAAATAGACAGTCATTTTGTTCAAGATTTCAGATTTGATTTCCCTTAATGAATTAATCTCGTATACCTGTCATCAACCTAGATGAAATTTACTCTTTTAGATTTTCCGCGCATTTAGTGAGTACACGTCTCACCCATTCCATTTTTTTCTTTCTTCTCAGGTGGTGTCGTTAATTGACTGTTAAATAATCTCTATCTATCACAAATTGGCGTATCCCGCTGATCGGAAATCTTTGAGCTCTAAGTATTGTTATCATTAGAAAAATTACCTCGGCTTAAGAGAAAATTTAGTGCATCGACATATGGAGTAACAAAACTTATTCCAAAGAGTTCCTGGGAAAAGAGAACGGAATTATTAAACCCTGCTAAAGCTGTCAAAGATGTACCGAACAATACTCCTCGATAGAGAATCTGGAGACAGAAAATACTTTTAAATCAATAATAATATTAATAATAACGATAGTGATAATGATAAAGATAAGGTTAAAAATGATGATAATAGAAATGATAATGAAAGTAAAAGTGGTGTACAGAAAATGGTGATGATGATGATTATATAATTTTATATATTACATAAGGGATTACACTATTTTCAAAATAATAATTTTAATAATAATAATGAGATGTTATTATCATTATTAAGCATAAACAGAGGAGACGAACATCCTTTAGCATTTTCCGATTATGTTGTAAAACGCTACCGAACACTTACGTCACAGCAGAACGAAGACGACTTTCAATTTTATTGAATTTTAATCGTAACTTTTTGCACGTTAAGAACAAGTTTAAAAGATTTCCACTGCTTCAGTAGACCTAACAGAAGGCAATAGTAAATGAAATGCATTTGCACCTCAAGCCCAACTTCCAATACACATTCATGGTTGAACTAGTAGTTTTCGGCTCAGCCTTGCGAAGTGGACTTCACTCTAACTTGAAAAATTAATTATTACTTATTCATCAATTTCATGTCTCATCAGTATCGGCAAGTGTTCTATGGCCAAAGAATGACAACCTGACTAAAAAATTAACGAATAAAAACATTTAAATGGGTCATGCAAGTGTTCCATACAGATGATCAAACAAAGTATTTATATCAAACGCTACTAAAAGTGAATAATAAAAGTGTTCAACATAGCTCAACATAGCATAGTTCAACATAGGTCAACATAGCTCTCTTCAAAATAGCTGAGGAAACTGAAATGCCCACTCAATGTTAAACTATGCAGAAAATTTATAGCAGCTTCTAAATACGAAGCATTTGATTGAAAGACTGACTTACATCTTTGTTGCTGTAACATGCGATAGTTCAATATTGATTTGAGACTGGAGCAGCTAAATCGCACCATCTCCTGACATACAAAATTTGCAAATGAGGACAATTACAGAAGGTAGTTTGTCCGCTAAAGCTAGATCCAATGATTTGAGATTTTCAATACGAGCTATTTATTTCAGGTGCTTTCTTACTATTTGGACTATTTTTCATTATGAAGAATCTTTAATTTTCGTCGTCACATTGAAAAAGCGATAATTGTAATAATAGCTACCACGCTATTTTTAATAAAATCATATTTTTAAAAACTGATACAACTCTATATATTTATTCTCTACCTCAATGAGAATATTCCAGTGCAACTATTCATGGTGTTCATGATAGGGTCGCGGCTGAAATGGCTTCGCTGGTCGCTTAGAAGCGGCATCTTTGGTAGGAGTGTCTGCACTGGAAGGATTGGCTATGATGTATTCACAGCCATCGAGACCAGGTTTGACGACACAATCAGCGTACTTCGATAGGTGTCTTTCCAAGTAGCTTAGTGGCGAGGATCCTTGGGAAAGAACCTGGTAATGGAAATCCTTCTCGCTGAACCTCTTTTTACCTTTCTCGATGGTATCCTTAGTGTCATTTCGTACCTGCCAAATCCTTAACTGGCCAATCATGTAAGCAGTTGCCTGGCCGGGGTCGCTCTGATAACGCGTCACGTCTTTGACAGCCTTGTCAGTTTTGTCCCAAGCATAATCAGCGAAGAGTTTCAGTGCTTCCCACCTCTTCATTCCTGAAATTTATTTGATTATAAAAATGTGAGACAGAAACTATCGTGCAACATTAGTGTACTGTATTTGTCTCATAGGTCAGAAGCAAAGTGCTCAATTTCCTTCTCCGTTTGATCACGTTTGCATGTTTCTGTAGTTCGTTAGCTCTATAAGCATTTGTTAGTCAAGTTCCAACTTCTCTAACCATTTATTCGCCATATAATGGTTAATTTTGGTTGATTGCGATACACATACACTCAAAAGACGAAATCCTCAATGAAGACCTTGTTACAAAGGGTACCTTTCAAGGGCCCGAAATTTAGTGTTGCAAATTTCGATTCCTCGGAAGCCCCATCCTTGTAACTTTATTCCCGTTTTGCCAGCTACCTTGTGTCTAGGAATAATTTACGCGAGCCTAAGGCTAAGGATGAGGAAGAAGTTTCCCGGCTAAATTGTTATTCGCCCAAGGCTGTCAATAATCAGTTACCAGCATACCTTTGTAATGAAGGCCAGTGTCCATCATCAGGCGCAAAGCCCGCCAAATCTGCCACTTGAGCATACCATACAACTGCAGCGGGTTGTTTTTGTACGTGTCTGTTTCTTCGGCGATGAGCGGATTCTCAGCGTATAATGCCCAGCCCTCCGTAAACGCGGTGTAGTAAGATGCACCATTCAACCAGCTTATCACGCCCTCACAGCTGTCTCCGAACAATTCTGTGAAACCCTGGACCTAAACAGAGAAGAGACAACGCTTCAATAAAATCAACAAAGAAAAGACCAAAACAAAATCACTTTAGAATCAATTTGTGTAGCGTTTTATAAAATTGGCAGTTCGTCACAAATTTATCCCCACAGGTAGACCTCATTGAAGAGAAGAGCAGAATAAATTACCTGGGTATGGTGTCCAGGCCTCGCCTCGTGAGCGCCCACGGATATGGCGTTGTATCTTGGTCCCATGTCTTTCAAATAGAACGGTAATCGGTACTGTGCATTTTTGGTGCAGTCTCTATTGCTGGATCTATAACTCTGGGAACCGGTGCCTGGGTTGAAATTCGCTACCAGCTTGACCGGACAGTTGGGTGTGCTCTGATATTTACCAGTGAAATGAAACATATGATTGGTTTTCGGGGCAAGGTCACTCAAAACAGCTAAACAACACACAAAAGGTGAACAAATGTGTCAGTGAGATCTGATAAATTAATGTTTTGAGATATGATAATTTCACGAGACTTTAAACCTCTTGATAATTGTTATTCCAGAAGAATTTTGAGTTTGATTGAAATCCTTCAGTTTAACTAAAATTACTTTTGTTTGTTCTCCTCTGTTACTCATTTTATCTTGGGCACTGAATCGACCTTCATAAAAAGACAAATAAAGTGAAGAATTGAAAATGATCATATTCCTTTGCGTGTGCATGAGGACAATTAGAAACGTTGTCAAACCAGATCAACGTTGATAATTTTACTGCATTGCAGTATGGTAGGTGGTACATTTATACAATTCACCTCTCGTGGAATGAATCAGAGATTAAAGCACCTGAAGCTAAATAATCGCTTTCGATCGATTCTTTTTTTCCTTAATTGTAGCGCATATTCTACACTAATGACATTTTGGTTCTCTTTACTTACTGTTAACATAGTCAAACCAGGTCAGCATGGCTTTGTATCTCTTAGGACAGTATATTTTAGCTTGTTCCATACTGGTGCACTTCTCGAATGCGTCCTTGTTACTCTCATTTTCGGGAATTTTCTCTTCATTGAAAAACATGCTTTGTTGTTCTAAACGTTTTTTAAACGCCACCACAGCCTGATTTTCGTCCTGCTGCCCTGTTAATTCCTTTGCTATTTGCACGGCTCGCGGATAGAGCTTATTCAACATTGTCTTTCCCAGATTGTAAACTTTATTAGGTGTCATCTCCATACTTGTAGTGAAGTAAGGTAAGATCATTTCATAGGCTTTCTTTCCATCCAGCGGGTCACCGTTAGGAAGTTTTCCAGTGGCTGGTATCCCAGTGTTAGTACCGTTTTTGTAGATATATGACAGAGGGAGCGTGGCGAGACCGCTGGAGATGTTACTGGGGACGCAGTATTGAGAATGTTCGAACTCCAAGTATTTCAGCAAGCTGTCCAGTGGTTTCCCCACATACTCCACAAGAGCTTCATGTATGTATGTCTTTACAGATTCTTTGTGTTCCTTTTCCCAAGCATTAGATACATCTTCTGGTAGATCAGCCAGCCATTTTGGATTGAGCATATCTTGAGTATATGATTCGTTTAGAACTCCTGTCAGAAGAAATATGTATATAAAAAGTCCTGCTAAATACATACAGCGTTAATCAAAACAAGCGAACTAAAAGAAAGCTTAAACGATTGAATTGCAAAAAATTGACCCGTGAATTTCAAACAAACATTAATGTAAACCCAGGAATTCAGGAAGAGATGAAACCTTTTCAACGGCTCGATTTTAACAGGGACTGGTAAGACTCTCGGGAAAGGCCTGTCAGTTTGTCTAGGTTATTTACTGAACTTTTCTCATGATTTTAGGTGATTTTGGCATAGCTTTCAGTGTAAGTGTTGGGATGCTTTCGTGAGAGGAATTTCAACAGATACTAAAACGAGTAGTTTTTATTTATCACTTCCCCCACACTTCGATTTTATAGAATTGACAAATAATTCATCTGATCCATTTCCTGTGTTTGTGCATTTTGTTTTGATTGACTTTTTTAAGTCGCACATCTTCAGTAATACTTTTGTTGTCTAACGATTTAAAGTGAGATTTGTTGTTTTTTGTTGCCTATTTTTTTTAAGATTTATCTTCAACATCCACTCCGACTAAAGCTACTTTTTTGTTTGTTTGTTTTTTTTTTTAGAAATGGAGCGTGACTTGTCCTATTAAGAAATATATTAAAACCTCAACTTTGATTAGTCGGCATAGTTCCCAGGGTACGATGTCATGAAAACTTGTGAGGAGATGTCACAAGGTTACTCCTGAAATTGAATCCTCCAAAATATTCCATTAATTCGTAAAGAAGTTCATTTCCTCACAATCACTGCCCCATGCCATCAGTCATACACTTCAGTTTTGAATTTGAGACCTTTGACAGCATATCTCCTTAGTATGGTATGTTGCGTAAGAAATCTTAGATCCAAGAATTGAAATACGTAAATCAAACTGAACCCCATAGAGATAGATTCAGCATCCAGCAGTATCTTTCTAAGTTAGAAATAACCAAAAAATACAAAACCTTACCCCGAGGGCCCTGTTGTGACACTTTTAGATAGGCGCGCTTAATGGAATACAGGCCGTCTTGACAATCCTCCACTGAACGAACAAACCCTGCTTTCACTCCATACTTAACATTTTCGATGTATTGCATCAAGGAATCGTTAAGCTTTTTTAGATGTTCGACGACAAATATCAAGTCCTTCTTCGTCTTGGGTCTTACACCCCATTCCTTGTATGTGAAATGAGCCATGAGGTCGCTTCCTACGCCGCAGATTGGCTGCCAACAGAATTTATTTGGACCAAGCATCCAATCTCCGGCGTAGTAGTTCTCGTCGTAGGGCGCGCCGAAGTTGCTTTGGAGATAATGCTTCACTTGCGCGATTGCTTTGATTTCACGCGGCTTCATCTTAGCGCTGTCTGCCTTTTCGTCGAGCGCCTGAGCTTCTTCATAAAGTGCTCTGGCCGCATCTGTCCGTTTTCGAATGGCCTCCGGGTGCGCGTCGTACGGGCTGAAATCCTCGCGAATGGTTGTCGGCGTCGAATCAGGATCGTAAACCGCGTTGTTGGGATTCATCTTGTAATAGGTAGTTTTCACTTTAAGAAGGAATTTGTCCAACCCCACGCGCTTAGCTTCGTCGGAGTATTCGCAAGTCGACGGTTTTACCATAGGCGCTTTAGAAGAAGGTGACACTTGAGTTGGACATTCCTTCCTAGCTTTGGAGGTTAAAACTCCACCAACCACGATAAGAATTAATCCCACAAAGCATAACACGACAGCAACGGCTATAGCGATATAAAGAGGCTTCTTAGAAGGTGGCTCTGTCTCCTTAAGAACATAGTAATTCTTTGGTTTCTCCATGTCTGCAAGGTAAACAGCTCGTAACCACTTGTGCGTAACGTGATCTTGGGATCTAAATAAATATTTCACCATAGGAAGCGCAGATCAATGTTAGAGATAGGTTTCAAAGAGACTGGACGCTTTTGGGGGCTAATGGAAAATGAAAACTCTGTCAATACCGAAAGATTAAAGATGAGGGTTTTGATTTGCTTTTGCATGCTTCCTTCTGAATTCATTGAAGTTATTCTCGAGATAACTTTGTCTCAGGTTATTGAAATATCAGTTATAAATTCAAGTGCAGCAATTCAAGTCAGAAACCACATACATTTGCCACTATGACTAAATTTACAAACTAATTGCATTACCAATATGTACTTCCGGCGTCTTATCATACGACGCAAAACTTGTGGAACAACAACCACGTGTTCTTTCCGTCGCTCGCTACGTGAGCAAGGCACGGGAAGACTTTCTGAGACCGCAGTCGATTGAGGTGTAATAACACCATTGCGCGATTTAGCGAACACATGTTTACACAACCCAGGTATTCATTGCATGTTTGGTTAGATAATTGGATCGATTTAATTCATCTAGATTTCGCCAATAAGAATGGCGGTGCGAATGACGATATCAAATAGAGTTAAAACGCCACTGTCATCTTCCTGTCATCTTCGAACCGTAATAAACATGCATTTGTCGTGAAAACACTATTGAACGCTTTTGACAGGTATCAATCTACGGTTTAATCTTGACACGTCGCAGGCGAGATGATTCTCCGCGATGATCGATATGCAGTGTTTTAAATCCGAGGCAGGCGCGTAAGATGGCCTATCTAAACTTCTGTCCAACTGCACTTCTGCAACTTCTGCATCAGAACACAGTTTGGTTCATTATTCAGTTTGGTTCATTAGCTGAACAACTTAGGTATTTCCTTAATATCTTCCTCTAATGAGCTTGAACCAATAACAATAGAGATTTTAAATTAGTTATCAGTGGAGTTAAACAATGTCAACAGAAAAATAAATATGTTAACACCAACGAAGTTCAAGTAGCATATGTATCATATATCAATCACCATTTTAGACCTTGGACGTTGCTGGCAGGATGGTATTCAACAAGAACAGAAATACGCTGGTAATTGTTACCGGTGTTATAACCTTGATAGGGTTGATTCTACTCATAGTTGGAATCGTCCTCATTGCGAAAGCTAAGGAAAAATCTAGCGAAGACTGCAATGCTGGTGTCTCTGGTGCAAGCAGCGGGGAAGACGCAAATCGTTGTAGTTATTCCGAGGAGGCCAAGAGAGCAGGTGTCGACAAATTCCTCCAGAAAGTTCAAGATACTTACTATGATCTTCATCCTCAAGATTTAATTTTCAAACCTGGGGGCGTTAAGAATGAAGAGCTTATGACGAAGTTTAAACCGTACAATCCAGAACCCAAAAACTTGAAGAAAATCACCGACAAAGCCCGACAACTTCTAAATGAACTGGATGATTTAGGTGTCAATACGCTTCGCTTGAAACCGCGTGAGAAAAAAGCTGTGGCACAACTCAAGCACTACCTTCAAAACAACTTCGGAAAGCCCTACGACTCAGATTATTATGCCGGAGATTTTCTTATGGGACCAAATTTGTTCTGCTGGCAAGAGATATGCAGCGTCGGCTCCTCGGACATTAGATATGGCCTGGGAAATTTCCACCCCAAGAATCTGGACGATGTGCGATTGTTTCTCAGTAAAATGGAGTTGGTGGCAGCGACTTTTTCGACATACGTCAACAACTTGCGGTTGGGGATCAAAGCTGGTATGGTTCGCTCAGTTGAAGAATGTAAAGCCGGAATAGACGCATTCAAACGAAATTATTTGCAGGTATCGCTTCAAGGAGAGCAAGGTATGTGAAATGAATTGACAAAGTGGGAGGTGGCATTAACTGACATGTTCGGCAGGCCCCGCCTCGCAGTTTTTTTTAAAATCTCGTTTATAGCCGTCATTTGGTAAACTGTTTTAGGTCATATTCAAAATTGCTTTTTTCCTGTAAAAGATGTTGCTCCAATACATCCTTACATGCTCCATACTTGTTTCCACTTTGATTTTTTTTTTGTCACGCAATGCTCGTTGGATGTTGCGTGAGGACACGGTCACGATCATCAGCAGAAACAACTGGTTTGACTGATTAGCCATTGCTTGAATTTTTGGGTGAATTTTGGTACTGATCACTCAAATCAAAGAACAGTGGAACAACAGCAACAGCAAAACAGTAAAAGGGAAGAAAGAAAGAAACAGTTCTTTAAAAGAACAAAGACGATGAGGTTGCCTTCCACATCTCGTAAAAATTAGATCAAATCTTGTCTGTAAAACCTTGTTTTCGTTATTGTCAGGAATTTTTGATGAAGATTACATGAAGCCAATCTTTTCTGCCAAGTTTCTGGCCGGTTTGAAACCCAGCCATTTAGAAGAGTGGGAAAAAGAAAATCAGAAGACTGTCAACGTCTCCATCCGGGAACACGCCTTGAAATATATTAGTAAATCTATCCTAGATGTGATCAAGTAAGGCTCTCCTAATTCGTAAAAATGAAATAGTCATGTCCTCGAGTAAAGCTTTAATAATCACATACGATATAGCTATTGTGCTGTGAATTCTCCTTTGGTTAACCTCAAACTATAGTGTCAGCGGTGAGAAACAACAGCTGGTTCATACTGAAAGATGAAAAGCATTCGATTGAGTAAAGCTTCGTTACCATATGAAGTGAACAAAATCAGTACTTAATGTAATTATATTGTTAATGGACTTGCGAGTAGAATTTTAAGGACCATTTGAGTCAGCAATCTGCGTTAGATCTTATTTTGTATTACAATTATACGCACCAGATTTCTAGAAACAGAGAACCTTCAGCACTGTGTTCCAAGTTCTATTTCAAGTGGCCTTGCGAAGCTTCCGCTCTCACATGTGTACGAAAATGGAAGCCAAACAGCGGAGAACACAACGAAACAGCTGCCAACCGGAGAAAAACTGGACGGGAAAAAAGCTTACGAATCGATATTACCATATTTCACGACGATCTCCAAAACACCCGACCAGGTTCACGAGCTTGGAAACGAGATGGTTAAGAAACTTTACCCTGAGGTAGGGTCACGTTTTGGTATTCCTTAAATCTTGTGATGCAGTATAAGCTTCATCACTATGAAGATAAGGTTTTTAGTATTTAGTTAGTATGTTTACTTCTTTTTCTCCCTACTATCGACTCGGTAACTCGCTGTTAGCTTTACCAAAATTGAAAAATTTCTAATAATTAATTTTTTGGCAACAAACGTAGAAATTCTGGCGCGCTGATTGGTCGAGAACCATCGTCAATAAAGTTTAAACTGAATCGACCATAAAAATGACGTGAGATGTAACGCACCGCTCATCAACAACTACCGCTATGTAGGAGGAAAAGATTTTTCTTTTCTCTCCTAAGAGCAACTGCAGATTTCTGAAATATGGACAGTGGTTAATTCCCGAAATTTGGTATCGGTATACTTAAGAAAATGTGTTAAGAAGGACTTGTCGAGGTGGATGAAAAATCTTAAGAAAAAGGAAGCAGGTTCTTGGTTCATAGAGTAGAAATAGAGTTACCTCGTAAAAACACTTGCCGTGAAGCCGTCGGCTGCGCCTCGTGGTTTTACTTTAATTTGAAACATTGTTGACGTCATTTCTATGATCAATAAGGTTATAGAGAATAGAAAACTGTGGTCGATTTGTTAAATAAAAGACACTAAAGGCCCCTGACAAAGTAAGGAATTTTTGTGTATACTACATTTTTTATAGGTTCTTGAAATCGCTCGCGATGTGACAAAAAAAGCCGACAACGACACGGCGAAGGAACGCTTTATAAAGCGACTGAATAATTCGGACATGTATTTTGCTGAAAAGCCGATCCCTGCCAATGAGTCTGATGAAAACGCGCACAAGCTCTGCAGCTCTGTAGAAGGAGCAAGGAAGTATTGTCCAGTACGCTGGGAGGCTATGCAAAACTGGTTTGCAGAGGCTAGGAGGGTAATTTTTAGTGTATATCATTCTAAAATTTGCATGAGCTAGATGATATTTAGTTGAATTGTTTAGGACTTCTTGCCAACGAAACTCAAACAAGCTAAGAAGTAATAGCTGACCAAGAAATTTTTGTAAGACGCCTACCGTTGAAAGAAACTTTTCATCAACTAAAAAGGGTGTTGGCTTAGGAGGTATGTACTTTACTTGACTAAAAGTGCTACCGGTCGACCTCGTGTGCCTTTAAAGCAGAAAATTTTGTGGTTTTTATCAGTAGTGATTGAGATTCAGCCATTACCATTGTTGCAACACATGTTCATTTATTTTTCGGTCTTTTCCCTTCATCCGTCAATGCCAATTTTCCCTCAATTTTACTGAGATTCTTTCTGCAGCTACTAAACTATTACACGCGGCATCCAAGGGACAAAGGGTTTATTTTGAGTATGAAATGCTAATATCATCATGACTTCATTTATTCCAGGTGATGAGTATGCTGGACCCCCAGACAACCGACATGTTTCATTTTTCCGGCCTAAAGCATACCACACCAAACTGTCCTGTAGATATGGCGCCAACCTTCAACCCGTCGAAAGGAGCTCAGAGTTACATGCGAAGCACCAAAGACTGTAGCAGAAACTCGCTATACAACATTCCGTTTTTCATGGAAAGGCCTGGGCCTAAGTATTCTGAGTGGAGCGTAAATGCACATGAAGCGAGACCTGGGCACCACACACAGGTGACGTACAAATAAAGAAGTTCTTTTCGTGTTAACGCGGTTGAGATAGACGGAAGATTTGCGATGAAAGGTATTCAGACTAACAAGTGTCCCTCCACTCTCTCTCTCTCTCCCATATTTTATGCAAGGATGACACTGATAGCGTTGGGTCTCATCAAGGATAAATAATAATTTAACACGCCTACAGTTTCTCACAGTGAGTCAGAGGCTGTTGCTGAGTTATCTAAACCTCCTTCATCGTCTTCCTCTCCATGTTAGGTTCAAGGACTTGTCGAGCATTTTCGTGACAGCTGTGGAGGTGTGATTGGCTGGCTGGACAGCTCCACCTACTACACGGCCTTCACTGAGGGCTGGGCACTTTACGCTGAGAATCCACTGATTGCTAAAGAAACAAATGTATATGCCAACGAACCCTTTCAGAAGTATGGTATGTTAAAGTGGCAAGTAAGTGATACGTAATCCTTCTTGAAACTTCTATAATCCAGTGTCCATCCAGTGTGTGGCGGTGTGTCACATAACAGTTAAAAGCTAATACACTACTGGCTATTAAGTCAGTCACTGAGTAAATCCACCAGTTAGTGAGTCTTAAGTTAATCGTTTAAACAATCAATCATTGGTGCAATTGGCCGGGTTCTTTAAGCCGATCTGTCATTACTCAGCCGTTTCGACTCTGAGCCACACGGTCTAGTGTCAGTCAGTCGATTGGATAGTTCCAAATTAGTTTGATTAGACATGAAAATTATCCAGCTGCATGGATACTTGCATTTTTGGAGTCTTTTTTTTTTGGTCTCTCTCTATTAAAGAAATCACATGAATTTTAAATATTTATTATCATTAGAATCTGAGAATCAAACACAACCTAGCAAGTTATCAAAAAGTTGTTAAAGTATGCCTTATCAATCCATTATTGTCGTCTCCTTCTGCTTCAGGTTTGGCGCGCTCTCCGCCTTGTTGTGGACACGGGTTTGCATTACAAAGGTTTCTCACGAGCTGAAGCCCTAGGCTACTTTGCCAAGTACGCCTGGGACACTAGTGATACAGCAGAGAAAGAGATTACTAGGTACCAGAGTGATCCAGGACAAGCAACTGCCTACATGATTGGTCAGCTTAAAATCATGGAGCTGCGAGATTACGCCACCAAAGAACTTGGAGACGATTTCAACTTGAAAGACTTCCACTTCTATCTCTTAGCACAAGGATCTGCTCCACTGAGCTATCTGGAGGAAGGCATTCACGAATATGTTCGATGTGCTAAAGATAAGGACCAAGAAGGATGTATGGATGTACTGAACCCCGTGGCCCCCGAAGGAGAGCAAGTCGATGAGTTCGTGGGAGTGGTCGGGGAAGAAAGCTTCGAGCCAATAGAGAGACCCTTCCTAGAAGACTACATATAACCCAGCAACAAGCAGTTACAGAAGTACAGCAGTGACGATGACCATTTGGATGATAAGGAGAGTGATGATCAAAACGAAATTTACAGCAACGAAAAAGAAAAGACTGAAGGCAATGTTAATGATATGCATAGGATAACACTAGGTTAAAAGAAGCGGCAACAATATTAACTGAACACAAGAATTGAAGCAGATACGGCTGGCGTTTTGTGACTAAGCCTACAACTATAGATTAAACTGCGATGTATGGTTTTCAGATTCGTTCAACTACTGCTTGGGCTACAGCACTAATTTGTATGATTTTACCGAAAATAAAGAGAGTTCACTGCCATTATCATGTTGAGCTTTGCACGGGTTACCATTATGCCCCGTCATCTCGTTTTTTTTCCTCAGGATGCTACAATTTGGCTGAGAGAGAAACTCCTGGTGGAGCTCTTTTTTCACGTTATTTCCATATTTTGTTTACATCACGCACTTGACAAAATTCACACGTGGAAGCTCTTTGCTTATGGAAAAATAAGGAAAAACCAAAGGCGGAAGAAAGTCCTTGTTAGAAAAAAAAAAGAAGAAGAAAAAAATGCCCAAAGAAGAAAGAAAAAGTACCATTCTGTCAAGAAAAAAAAATTCCTTTGTGAAAGCGACTAGTACTAGCGGCGCTCAACGCTGGCCCTTTTGGCCGGGTTTTTCCTTTTCCTTTGGCAACTTTCCTTGTTATTGTGTCGTCCTCAACGCTCCACTGAGCGATTGAGATAAAAAAAGCGTGCGCAATGGGTTAAATCTTGATCCATCGTCATCGACGCCATGAGGTCAAGTTGTCCCATTGGTTTGCGGTTTCAGGAAGCGAAGTAATCCCCAGGCGTGTCGCGAGTTGTTTGCGAACCTATATTAGCTAAAATCTTGCATTTGATTTTAGGAGGAATACAACCACATTGAGCGAATTTATAGGGTCTACAGATTTGACGGATTTCGTCAAATTTCGCCAAAACATTAATAATGACAAACGAAAGTGTGTCGGGAAATTTTGATATTGGAAATATCCCGTGGCGTCCATTCAAGCAACACGAATCGCATATTTGTGGCTACTCCAGCTTTAGATGCCGATATCTAGACAACCAATCAGAAAATCGAAAGAGCTAGACTCAATTTTGTTGACTGATGCCTTGTGAATAAGACTGCGCAGCCATTTTGCTCGTGCTGCAGCATCTGATACCCGATAAATTCAATAGAAGAACCCGCGGTCGTTTCACGCCTTCCCGGCTCCTGACACTTCCTTTAAAGAAAAGTCGCTTAAATTATATTTTTATAGTAAACTGCAGTTATTAAACTTTCTTCTGATGTATAGTTTGCTAGGATTTTAGTGAAATAGCGCGCGTACGAATTTTTTCCCGAAGGACACCTGCGAAGGTGGGAAGTAACTTAAATTGCCTCCATTCATTTTCCGTAACTACCATAATTTACGTAAAATAAAGCTGGGAATTCCCTCGATATCTCAATTAATTGGGTAAACAAAACATACAAATGAATATGACAGCATTCTTAATCCACAAAATAAAAAAACATACCAACTAAAGAGGTCTATTGACTGTTCCTTGCCTTTACATTTTCTCGATCAAAGAGAGCGGCTTAAAAACTTCATCAGTCAACGTCACTTTGAGAAGATAGATTACTTAGCTGTGTTTTTGCACACGTCAGAAGTCGGTTGATGAACCGTATCAAGTGTCTGTCACGCAAGAGGTGTCTTTCACTCGATGTAAACACAAACACAAGATTCCGTCGTTGTTAACTGGCTGGAATATAATGGCAAAGCTGAAAAGTCGTAATAATTTAAAGCTTATCGCTGGAGTTGTCGCTTTAGCTGGAGTCGTTCTTCTTATCGTTGGAATTGTTTTGATCGCAAAAGCCAATAATGAGGAATGTACAAGTAGCGAAGAACCTGAGACGGGTCGATGTGGTTATTCCTCAGAAGCGAAGCGAGCGGGCTTAGATAAATTTCTCCAGAAAGTTCAAGACACGTACTTCGAACTTCACCCTCAAGACTTGATTTTCAAACCCGGTGGTGTAAAACCAGACGAGTATTTGGCTGAGTTCAAACCGTACAATCCAGAACCCGGAAACTTGAAGCGAATCACGGACACTGCGCGACAACTGGTAAAGCAATTGAAAGATTTGGGTGTTAACACGCTTTTCTTGAAGCCGCGTGAGAAAAAAGCCCTGGCGCAAGTTAAGCACTACCTCCAAAACAATTTTGGACAACCCTACGATTCAAATTACTACGCTGGCGATTTTCTTATGGGGCCGAATCTTTTTTGTTGGCAACCAATTTGCGACGTTGGGCACCACGATATCCGAATGGGTCTTGGAAATTTACACCCGCGAGACCTAACTCAATTACGTGTGTTTCTTGATAAGACAAAGTTAGTGGCACACACTTTCTCGACATACATCGAAAACTTGCGGATCGGTGTCACGGCTGGTATGGTGCGCTCAAAAGAGGAATGCAGTGCTGGACTTAAATCATTCAAACGAAGGTATTTGCAAGTATCGCTGCAAGGCGTAAAAGGTATGTCATGTTTTTTAACTAAAGAGCAAAGGGCAAACTTAAAAAAAAACTGTAATGTCTTTTTATGAACCTACGTTCAGATATCTTGCACTCACGCTATGTCGCTTGCACGCAATATGTTCTTCGTAACACATTTGTGCTCCTTCGCGTGGAGAGACTTGAGACGAGTCGCGGAGAGGTTTGCTGGGAGTCTGGCACTTGCACTAAAAATGAGGCTTGGTTTCATTCGATGCATGACGCTGTCTTTGAACAAAACTTCTCCCCGTTTGATATGGTGTCATGATTCTTAACACTTTTCTGATATTATAATGGCTAATATATTGACACATTTAACTATCAAGATGTGAAAATATTGGCATAGCACCCTCGAATGCCCTCACTCCTTTCAGACCTCTCGCCGGCTAGTCACAAGGCCTCAAACTTTCCCGCGAGCGAACAAACACGCGTGTCGAAGCGCTAGTAATTGGGGCCCGAGGTGGGAAAGTGAGAGGGTGTGCAGCGAGCGTATCGAAAAAACAAAAAGTAGAAGCGTTTTCTGGCTGTAAGGGTGAACATAAATTTGAGAGCTATTGAGATGTAGATTTTTTTCCGAGATTAATTGCAATACGTTTGTTTTCTCCAGGGATTCACCACGAATACTTCATGAAGCCAATATTTTCTGAACAATTCGTATCTGACTTAAAACCATCCCACTTGGAAGAGTGGAAAAAGGACAATGGGAAGACTGTAAACGAGTCCATTCGGGAATACGCCGAAGAATATATTGGTAGACCCATCCATGATGTAATCAGGTTGGTTTATTTTGTTTTTGCCTTTTTGATTTTCTGCATCTGTTCACTTTATTGGTATACTGGTATTGCGGCCGACAATCCTTACTCCTCCCCACCGACCCCACTAAGGGGAGATGTGATATAAGGTGTTGATTATGAAAGGGGAAGGACCTTACAAGGCGTTACACCATCAAATGTGAGGGGAACTAACTACGTATTGCACTACGCTAAGAGAAGGGCACTAAGACTCTCGAACTGTCTTTTTCTTCTTTATTAAATTACTCCGGCGGTTCTCAATCTTTTAGACTCTCACACTTTGATTCTCTCTGCCGAGAGAATCAGACTTGTGCTGCTAAACACTCTCTTCAACTACGGAGTTCCCCCTCTACACTTCTCTACACTTCTCCACGCACTTCATAACAAAAGGAACAGTTCCACCAACGAAGTTTGTTCCAGACAAATAACAGCTTCAAGGATTAAAAACAAGAACTAATTATTTGTCTAAACAATTATGTTTCGAGCTCCACTCAAACCACCATAACTTTTGAAAACGCTCTGGGAAGAGTGTGGCTCTTGTTTGAAGGCCATGTAATAATCAGACAATGAAGGCCTTTTCAGAGATAAAGTAATCATAGAGATTTAATACACTCTATCCGTTCAAACCAAGATTCCTAGAAACAGAGAACCTCATGCACTGTGTGCCGAGCTCCATCTCCAGCGGTCTGGCAGAGCTTCCACTCTCATCTGTGTACGTAAATGGGAGTCGAACAGCGGTGAGCACAACTAAACAGCTGCCAACCGGTGAAACGTTGGACGGCAAGAAAGCTTACGAATCGATCTTACCTTATTTCACGACAACAAGCTTGTCACCGGACGAAATTCACCAACTTGGGAACGAAATGTTAGCGAAACTGTATCCAGAGGTAGCCCATTCTCAATCATCTTTTCCTTTTCGAAATTAAGATAACCTTTGACCATCTGTCATCCATATTTACACAATTATACCGATGTTGAAGAGGAATTGGTAGGAAATGCACAGTATTTAACGACTTATTCCAGCACTTACTTGAACATTAACATTCTTGTTGATGGATTGTTCCTTGAGGAAATTGCCGCAGAAATTTGGAGTTGAAGCTGAATGAAATCATCAGTTAATAAAGCTTTTTGTATTGGGCATTGTGTATGTCATTGAAGGTGAGGCACACTTTCTTCGAACTATGGTTTGCTTTTTCCCAACAATGTGACACGTATAAAGAAAAATCCTTTGAAAGTTGGACTAGATAGGCTAGTTAGCTAGGTTGTAAGATGTTGTTGCTTGTAGGTAATAAATACGCGAAAATAAAATACTTCTCATAGGTTCTTGAAATCGCACGCAGTGTGACGAACCAGGCCAATAATGACACTGCAAAGGACCTCTTCATCAAGCGCCTGAATGAATCAGACATGTACTTCACAGACAAACCAATCCCTGCCAACGAATCAGACGAAAATGCGTTTAACCTCTGCAGCTCTGAGGAAGGAGCGAAGAAGTATTGTCCAAAACGCTGGGAAGCCATGCAGAAGTGGATTGCGGAAGCTAGGAAGGTATGTGGCGATAGTAATGCATCTGTGATGTGATATAAACTGGTTGGCTAAACCATTTTAAGCCACCTTATGGTCCTTCTTTTCACTTGAGTTCCATTTACATTGTCATGATCTTGGGGAAAGAATTATTCAGCCTACTTTGATTTGATGTACTCCTTTTCCCATTTTTTCCTGCTTCAAACTTTCTCGTGTTCCACCTCGTTTAAATTGTGTTCAGCGTCCCCTTTCTCCTCCTTTCCACCTCCCATCTCCCCCTCTTCCACTTCCTCAAACTCTTCCTCCTTTTTCTCCTCCTCCTCTTCGTTTTCTTCTTTTCTCACCCCCTCCTCTCTCCCCTCAATCTCCCTTTCCTTTTCCCCACCTCTCATCTTCTTTCACCTTCTTCATTTTCCAAAATTCTGCCCATTCCACGTGAAACTGATCAAACTGATCAATCGCTTTATTTTCTTCTTTTCTTCCAGGTGATGGGTATGTTGGATCCTCAGACAATAGACATGTTTTATTTTTCCGGCTCTAAATACACCACACCAAACTGTCCAGTGGACATGGCGCCAAACTTCAACCCGTCAAGCGGGGCACAGAGTTACTCGCGAAGTACAAAAGACTGTATCAGGAATTCTCGTTACAGAATTCCGTTTTTTCTCGATAGGCCTGGACCCTTGTATGAGGAATGGACCGTCAACGCGCATGAAGCGAGACCTGGACATCACACTCAGGTAGCAGACGTAGAGTATTCCAATTTAGGATCCACAAAGATACACATGACTCAGATGGGTTTGACTTGGGCTATGTGAAAGTTAAAATGTTGTGTTCCGTGTCTTGTTTAAAGGTACATGCTTAAGGCTTAAGGTTAAAAGTTTCAATACCACTCAGGTTTAGACATTTCCTCAGCCACCTCCGCAGTCACCTTCTTTACCTCCTTAGACGAAAATCAAGAGGGACAGATATCCCTCCGACCAAGGTGTGATACACCGATTCTAAGAGGGTCACAGGTATAAACTACACAGGTAAAAAACTGAAGCCAACTAGCCCCATAGCAGCTGACAGTAATATATGTTTCCTTCTTTACTCAGGTCCAAGGCTTAATCGAGCATTTCCGAGACAGCTGTGGAGGTGTGATTACTTGGCTAGACACTAATACCAGGTACACTGCCTTTTCAGAGGGTTGGGCATTATATGCTGAGAACCCACTGATTGCTCGCGACACAAACGTCTATGAAAAGGAACCTCTTCAGAAATACGGAATGCTCAAATGGCAGGTATGTGCGGGAAAAAAATTTGAACTGTCGATATTTGTTATTGCTGTTGTTTTTGGTTTTGTTTTCGTTTCTGTTTTCTGGTTGTTTTCTTCACTTACCCTTTGATTTTTCTGTTCTTTCATTCACTCGCCTGTTAATTTTGCTTGGAGTCTGTTTGTTTGTTTTTATTGTGATTATTAATTGGGAATGACGGGAGAGACGAATTTGTTAGTTCAATTACGAAAAGAGACATAATTTTTATTGTTGCTACATCGTCCTCATTGCCAGTACCGTATTAAGTGGTCACCCTGTATCAAGTGGTCCGCAAGAGAATATCATATTTTCTTAACGGTCCATTTATCACGATCCCAAATTTGCTTCCCCTTAATTTTTTTACCTATATTGAGCGGTCACCTCTCTTAAGCGGTCGTGGTCACCTTTGACTGAGTCCTAACGGCCTGTTTGTATTGTCCTCCACCTGTATTGAACGGTCTGTTACGGCGGAACCACTCCAATAACTAAGAATATTCTTTCAAGTGAAATTTAATCGAAACGTTTCCCTCACGAAATCAATGTTAATAGTATTTTTGAGCGAGTGTTTGTTCATTTAGTGGTCAAATATGGCATAAAATGGCGTTTTTTATCGTTTTTAATATTGCCCCTCCTCTGTAGAACCTGTGTTGAGCGGTCAACCTGTATCAAGCGGTCACCCACCATTTCCCGTTGGTAATTGCTTAACCTTTTAACCCCTAGGGGTGATTAGCATGTAATTTCTTCATACAAAATTACCCCTGAATTACACATTAAGGTCATGAGGATAGAGAAATGACCACCAGTCAAAGAGGCTCTTGATTGTGAAACAAATTCTCCTTGTCAGAACCTTGTGAAATGTTTAGAGAACAGTATGGAGAATATGCAAACTGATAATAGGGTGGAAAGGGTTATTGCAGGTTTGACTGTATTACATTGTTTCAGGTTTGGCGCGCTCTTCGCCTCATTGTAGACACAGGATTGCATTACAAAGGTTTCTCAAGAGCTCAGGCGCTTCGTTACTTCGCCGACTACGCGTGGGATACGAGTGACATAGCTCAGAAAGAAGTCACAAGATATCAGAGCGATCCTGGACAAGCAACTGCGTACATGATTGGTCAGCTTAAAATTCTGGAGCTGCGAAAATACGCCACTAAGGAACTCGGTGACGATTTCAACCTTAAAGACTTTCACTTCTATCTCTTAGCGCAAGGATCTGCTCCAATCAGCTTTCTGGAGGACAGTATTCATGAGTATGTTCGATGTGCAAAGGAAAAGGAACAAGAAGGTTGCGATGCTGTTCTAAACCCTGTTGTTCCGGAGGAAGAGCAAGTCACTGAATTTCTCGGGGTGATTGGGCAAGAAAGCTTCGAGCCCATAGAAAAACCCCCACGAGAGGATTACATATAAACTTCCTTTCTATCCATAGTCGATAATAACGATAATAATTCTGTTGTGAAAAAGATGACAATGACTATGGCGTGCGTTGGCGGTGACATCGTAACAGAGACTGTTAACTTCTAGATGCATTGTATAGGCCTCGACCGGAAGGAACGACAACTTAGTAATAGTTGTCCATTTGCGTGAACTAGGTTATTACCCGAGCTCAAATTTTTAACCTGATCTGTTCATGTTAGTTTACCATGGTTACGACTTAGCCCCAATATAACGTGAATATTTGCATGTGTCATTCCCTCATATATTTTTTTCCTTTTTCTCCTTATGTTTGATGCAATATTTATGCTATATTCGCTTTGCTCAGGATAAATATATTGTAATTCCCTCATTAGGTGAATTTTTTGCCACCATAATATCCTTGATAGCGATTTGAATCTCTGAAAAAAAAAATTCTTGGCCATGCATAAAAGATGCTATAATTTTTTGGTCATCGTTAACAGCTTGAAATTTATGAAATGATAAATGCAAACAATTGTTTTTCTCACAATATCTTACGGGTCCGTTTATCGTTGATGGCAACTTTCTGACTCAGTCCTATTCTGCAAATTTTAATCACAGCCTAACGAAAGCAAACAGTTCCGCAGAGGAGAAACTCAAACTGGCTGCATGTCGCCAGAAGAACTGAAGAGAATCTCTCATTCAATTTTTCTTCATTCTCTTTTCCTCTCTTGTTCGGATAGTAAACAACACGCTGACACGCATGCGACTTTTCGATCGGTCTAATATTTTTGTCCACACCGAACAAACGTAGTTTATTTGTTTCGAGGAACGAGAAATGAAATTGGATTATTTCAACAAGATACATTTCGTGTTTCCCAAAACAAAAGTCGAGCGAAATGAGCCAAACATGCATCTTCCGACGTTGTTACCGAAGATTGACAGTGCGGCTTCCATAGTGATCTTCTTGATTTAAGCATGACCATTTATATTAAAGAAAGTTTCTAAAGGCAGTGTTTCGTTCGTTAGCCCTTCAGATTTGCTCTGACGAAGGGCTAACGGTTGAAACGTCAGCTCTAGAGTCTCTTTCCGGTGGCCATCGATAAAACCATCATACCCTTACTAATCGCCGACGCAGTAACACAGTTTCTCAAGAAACGTTCCCTCTTTACTTAAACTAAATATTCTAGATTACCTCAACGAGTTCCTTTGATAGGAATATCCGGGCTGAGCCTCAAATCGCTAATTCAGCTTGTTAAAAGTTTTATAATGACGGTTGATTGACACTCAGCACGGCTCTGTTTCTTTGACAAGCGATCTCCTGCTTGTTTCGGCCCCACAAACTGCAGCTGTAGCTAATATCATAATTAATTTCTAGTCCTTTGAGTATTTGCGGCCTCACGGCAAGATCAGAGGAATCGCCAAAAATAGTAGTAGGAAATAGAGCTTCTTCTCTTGGCGTCTGTTAAAAAACAGATGAAGGTTGACGATAACGGTCTCTAATCGATCAGCTGATGTAGGAAATCGAAGATTGGCACCTTGCAGGTAGCGTTATAGCTATGATCAGCCTAGAAAAGCTTGGTTTCGAAGACGCTAGAGATGAAATGAAGCCAAAACGATCCAATTGTCATGGCTGAACGCATAGCATGCATAGTTTTCACTTGTAAATACACTATTGTAATAGCTTTCACGCACACCTTAAGCTGAATTTGTCGCCTTCGCCGAGTTAGACCTTGAGTGTAGGCACAAATGGATAGCTTATGTGAAATATTCCCTTCAATTAGTGGAGAAGAAGCGCCTTCTTCGCCTTATTTCTTTTGACATGAGAAATATCTTTAAAGCGGGTATTCTTGAAATTCTCACTTGGCAAAGAATCCCTTTTTCCTAGTGAATCACCCCATTCGGAATACACCCCACCACAACCTTGCATCAGAGGTCGTTGAGAGAGGAACATGTAACTAGCCGTTTATGGTCGCCATTTTGTAGCAAAATTCAAGAATGAATATTTATGTCAAAATCAACAAATTGATACCAAATTCAACGATTGAGGACCGCAGCTTTTCGGCTGATGCATTAACTTGACGGGTCAAAAGTCCGATTACATATATTTTAAATATTCTGTTAACTTTAACTGGTTTTAATGATGACTTTCCTTTTTGCTACGGCAAAGACATTTTCTTAAATCTGTCAAGAAAATATTGATGTATCCAAAAAAAAACCTAAGAATGGAAAAAAAAAATGTTATTATAAACTATTATTATTATAATTATTATTGTTATAAACATCCAAGGAACATTGATATTGAATTTCACCTGGAACTTCTTTCAGGGAGTCTTGATATGCTTCCAGATACGTCAGATTTTTTTCTTCTATTTTTAATGTTTGAGATTAAAGGACAATAATATATATAAATCCCGCTTGATTGGCAGAGGGCAATCCTCTAGGGAGAGCACACGTCAACTGCACGCGTCTAAAATAAATCTACACAGAGCTGCAAATAGGGTCGCTTTTGGACTTTAAAAGCTTAAGGCTAACGGTTTCTGAGGTAAATTCACTTTTATTCATTCTCCATTTGCTTTAATATTATTTTTCAGTTTACCTTGCATCGAATGTGCTGACCCGTGTTGCCCCAAGCCACCTCGGCCGCGCCTGTCATTCATTACCAACTGTTGACCTCGATTGTTTTTATTGCTTGAACAATTATCTTTAGGCGCACAAGCGTAAACTATGGCTGAGAAGGCAGAGGATAGCAACGGCATGCTCATGGACGAGGTGGACCTGAAAGTAAGGTACCAGCATGAAAGATCTTGGCTTTCTGGAGGAAAGCTGGTGATTTTTGGGCTCATTGCATTGGGAGTTTGTCTCATCATAATCGGAGTCATTCTACTCGCGCTGGCACATTTTGCGAACCGGGAATGCAGTGGAAAGGGACCTGAGGTGCCTACAACAGGGCAACCCACTCAGCAAATACCTAAGCGATGCGAATTTTCAGTGGAAGCCCAGAGAGTTGGCCTCGATGAATTTTTGAAGAAAGTGAAATCAACATACTTTCAGTTGCATCCGTTTAGTATTCCGTTCCATCCAGACATAAATACAGATTTGTTAGCAGGTTCCGAGAGGATCAAAAGAGACTATGAGGCGTACGATCCGACTCCATCTGTGATCAAAAATCGCACCGATGTGTCTTGGGCTTTGCTTGAAGAAATTACGCGCAAAACCGAGCATGTCAAAATGAACGCCTTGTTGCCAAGAGAAAGGAAATCCTTGGCGCAAGTGAAGCACTACCTTCAACACACGTTCGGTCAACCATATGATGTAAACTATTACGCCGGGGATTGGATGATGGGACCGAATTTATTCTGCTGGCAACCTATTTGCTATCACGGGTACGACTTTTACAACGCCATAATTCACCATAGACCCACCAACGAGGCAGACGTGAAACTTATCAGATCTAAGCTAGCGACGCACCAGAGAGGAATTTTGCAGTACATCGACAACATGAAAATGGGAGTTGGGAAAGGCATGATTCGAAGCAGGGAGGAATGCGTCGCCGGCACAGATTCACTGAAAAGGAAATATTTGAATGTGTCCCTCTACAATGAGACAGGTAAGGAATTTATTGACATGTAAGATTGCAATTTTACAAACATTTAATTTGCGCATCAGTATCAAATTTCATGTTGGCGTGTGAAAATGTTGTTTCATTAACTTCACGAAACGACTCACGTATTTCACGATATTGCCAAAATCGTCAATATAAGTAATAAGTATTGCATTGTTTCGCGTTAAGTTGAAATCGTAATACTCTCTCAGCCACTAATACAAACTTTCCATTCATAGCTGTGTTCGCTTTATTGATCATCAAAAGAACAAATTTGCATTTGCACACAAAGAAATTATGCAGAGTATTGTAAACAAATGGTATAACTCAGCTATAATTAAATGGTCGATTACACAATTCGTTTGAACTGAGAGGTTGCGACAAAGCTTGAATTATCGATGTTCCAAAGGTGGCTTGCTCAATACTTTGTCCATCTTGTTGCACGACTCTCAATTTTAAGAAATGTATACTCTTGTTGCTGGGTCACGATGGCACGTCTACCCTAAGAGGCAAAAGTCAACACTTGATTTTCACTCAAATGACTTGTCCTGAAAATTAGAAGTTACCAAATGAACGTTTATTCAAGTTTTTCCTAGTTAGATGAATATAGATTGATCGCAATGATCAGGAAATTAAAAGTTATAGACCACACGTCGATTTGTCACGCGAGTATGGAATGGATCGCAAATCAAAGGTCAAAATTTTGCCATTTGATTTTGATAGTCGCTTTCGTGTAATTAACTATCTTGACGAGCTTGATTGCTTGATCCATAACATCTGTTCTCCCAAGATTGTTTGAGTTTGGCTTCAGGTCAGATATGGCATGTAGAGTTAAGCTGTTCGGTATGCGTGGAGGTTGATTAAGCATCGCTTGCTATGATAATCCTTGCCTTAGAACAACCTCGGATCATCCGTACGCTTGAATGCCCCCTGAAAGCTCACACACCATTAACGACATTTAGATTGTTATGTGGAAATTAAATGGAGGTGATGAATGATAAGACCAAGTCTTAGTACTTCAGGCTAAACGAACTATTGCCTTACAACATTTCCTCTTTGTAACCTAATAATTGTTTTTATTGAAAGAATTCGTCTATGAAACACCCACAGCGTAAAAGAAAATTACAAAGGTGCGGTATGTAGGTCAGAAAATGAAAGCGATCCTAAAACAAAGCCATTAGTCCCCAAGGTAGTCAGTTATTTTACCAGCGTTTGCTTTTATGAAAGGACTGTATGCATAATGAAAGACATGTTTGGGGTTATACAGAAATCTTGCCCAGAATTCTTCAACCATTGACAAGTCTAAAATTTGTCAATATGTGCCCCCTGTCATTGCATCTGGCAGTAATTATATGAGTAGCTCTCATTACAACTGGCAAATTTCCTTATCATTTGTAATTTAGTTATTAACTAGCTGATTTTTACTTTTAATTAAGGATGAGCAAATCTTGATGTTAAAAAAAAAAAGTCAGACAAATATTCCATATTTGTGTCTATATTTCCCACACCTGTTGAAGACCTGTGAGGGATCATCAGAGTGTAACATTTGGATTTTGTCCTTTATTAGCATTTTGTAAATAAGAAGATTGAAGTAAAAATGAGGCCTTAGCCATCTAACTCCCAGAAGTAATTAATATGTAACTTCTTCTTGTAACATTTATACATTATCCAACAAGCAGGTAATGAGAATAATCTAACTTATCAGGTAGAAGTTGTTATTTTTATCTAACACCAAATTCTCCTAACTTATTTACAAAGAAATGTGAAGGCCCTAGAGGGGAGAATTAACAGTGAGATCTTGGGAGTTGTAAAAATAGTTGGAGGGTAAAACAATAATTCCAACTAAAATTTGTAAATCCAATATCTCTTTTGTTTGTTCAGTATGGTATTTAGAGTGCTGAGGATGAGGAAAAGTTTATTGTGAACTTAAATCTCTGCAAGGCCCACCTATACTCACAGAAATGCTTGCCTTCTTAGGTATTTGGAAAGAGTGGTTTGTTGAACCTGCCATTCATCCTGAGTTCTACAGCTTAATACCTGTGAAAGTTGACCAGGCTTGGAAGAAAGAGCATGGCAAGAATATTAATGAAACAATTAAAGACTATCTATTGACTTATCTTGGAAAACCCCTGCATCAGCTTATCTGGTACTTTTATTGTATGATCTTTATGGAGTAGGCTTTGTGGGTTTGGTAAGGGGACCTCTGATTGATATAAGGGAACTCAGGTACATAAAATTGTAAATGGATATCCATAAAGGCCTATCTACAGGGGCAGCTTTTTGTACACTGCTTCTGTTCCAAGTATGAATTTTGGAGTGATAATTTTTGTAGAGAGAGTTTTTATTGGCAAATCTTAGAGTAAGGGTGAGAAACAGTAACATGAAAACTTGGCCCACATTTCATACCAGGTTTTGGATTTAAGCAAGGGCCACATAAGTAGGAAGGAAAGCACACAGATTCCAATAGTGTGGGCTTCTTGACTCTAAACAGTTTATCAAATTGGCATGATTGAATCTGCTGTGACAGGCAAACATTCAATATCATCTTTTGGTTTTCAAAATATCTCTTATCTTATCTCTCAGGTATTTAGAAAATGAATACATTCACCATTGTGTACCAAGTAATGTTTCAAGTGGATTAGGAAGACTGCCGCTGAGTCATGTTTGGTATGATGGTGTAGAAGACAAGAACGAGCCAACAAATGCAACTTTGCCAACCGGTGAAAGTCTGAATGGTCCCAAGGCATACAGCCTAATCATGCCATACTTCACCACTAATAATATGAATGCATCTGATGTTCATGACCTGGGAATAAAGCAATTAGAGAAACTGTATCCATTGGTGAGTACAGCCCTTTTGATTTTCAAATTGAATCTTCATGTGTTATTTTTGTGCTTTTATGACAGTCATGGAAATGTAAGAATTATTAGAAAAATTGAGAGAGGAAAGAGGGCATGCAGAGCAATCTGCAACCATCAATTTTGGGTCACTTGTGATGTTTTGTCAAATTTAATTCATTTAGCATGGCTTTTTTTGTCTGTACTATTTCATATGAACTTTTAAGCTTGAATGTGATCTTTGTCATTGTAGTGTGCTTTTACTAAGTGCATCTGTCTCAGAAAAAGCACAAACTTTCAAAACAAAAGGAGTCAAGATCTGTCTGAGACAGGTATTTGATGATATCCTGAAACTATTCATTTTCCATGCCTTGAATGCAAATGTTTTTTGTTATTTTCCAGGTGGTAGAAATAGCCAAAGAAATGACAGGTACAAATGATAGTGATTTGGCTGTGAAACTCTTCAGAGAGAGGCTTAACTCCACTGAAAGCTTTTTTAATGATGCACCAATTCCAGCAAATGAGTCAAACAAAGAGGCACATAAAAGATGCAGCAGTCTTACTGGTGCAGAAAAGTATTGCCCTAAACGGTGGGCTGCGATGCAGTTATGGTTCAAGGAAGCCAGAAGGGTTGGTAAATTTTGAAAATGTTTATGTGAAGAGGGGACTTGAATGACTCAACCTTTGAGTGCGTCATTGGATCTGTAGACACCAATCACTCATAAGATGTCATTTCTGGGGAGGGTTGAAGAGTTGAACATGAGTTGGAAACAAAGACGATAGCCATCTTGGACTACGCCTAAAAGGTTTGATGGTTCAATGTGTAGCACCCAATGGGATGGGAGGTTCCCATTCATCCACCCACTTACCAACCTCCTTCCCTGTGCTACAGTGGAGCTACAAGTATTAATGTCTTACATGACTGTCTAAGGGTCAACATTGTGAACAAAGGTTCCTTTGTGGAAAAGACAAAAAATCAATTATTTAACTTCCTGTGTTAGGTAATGAGCATGCTGGATCCAAAAACTGTGGATATGTTCTACTTTACTGGTCCTAAACATACCACACCCAACTGCCCTGTGGACCTCCTACCCGACCTCAACCCATCTAGTGGAGCACAAAGTTATGAAAATAGTGACCCGCAGTGTTCAAGGAATGCCATCTACAATATTCCATTTTTCTTGGAAAATCTGGGCCCAAGGTTCTCTGAATGGAGTGTGAATGCTCATGAGGCAAGGCCTGGACATCATACACAGGTCAGGAATGCAGATAATTTTTTCCAGTAACAAGGCAGGATATCAATTAAGTGAAGGAATTTTGAATTAGAAGTTCTGTTTGGTTCTGAAAAATAAGATCAGGCCATTGAGTTTTTTCAGGATTGTGGGAGCTTATTTCAAGAAGATTGTGTGGTCAGAAGGATAGCTTTTGCCTAAAGTTATTGGATTAAAACCCCTTCCAGCCCCTTTTCCTTCCAAGTGCTGATTACTCCATCTTTTTATTCAAAAAAAGCAAACTCGTTCCAATTTGACTGTTCTTACAGTGACTTGTAATTACACAGGATGTCATGATTCACTGACAGCCACTTTACTTGTACATTTGCATGTAAAAAAGTTTTATTACTTAATTTTGGTACTCTTCCTACCCCTGTGAGATGTCAATCCGTGAATCTGAGGCACCTACTTTAGGAAGATGGTAATGTGAAACTTTTTTCCTCCATATTTGTTGATTTTTTTTTCATTATCTTTTAGGTTCAGGGAACTATTGAGCATTTTCAAGATGGCTGTAGTGATGCCCTCACTTGGCTAGACACAGAGACATATTACACAGCCTTCACAGAGGGCTGGGCACTGTATGCTGAGAATCCGCTTATAGCTGAGGACACAGACACATATGATAATGAGCCTATGCAGAAGTTTGGCATGTTAAAGTGGCAGGTATGCTTGTGCTGCTGATGGAAGTGTTAAGTCTTGTTTCACTTGTCTTTACCTCATACGAAAGAAAGCAATAGGGAAGTGAAATGGATGAGAAAAAGAATTGAGGTGTCTCTCCCTTCACCGACCTGGACTGCTCAGCATCACTGTTTTTATTATGACATTCTTTTTCAGGCTCTTAAACCTTGCAAGAGAATCTCAGACTCATTTCATATCACTCAATTAACATAGACTACAGCCTGTATGTATGGTATGGAGCAGTTTTCTTTTAAGTTCTCCGTCCTGGGACAGGGTTTGAGCTAGGATTTGACTATTTAGGGTCAATTTGTCCCTTTAGCTTATTTTTGGGGGGACATTTTCCATTTCTGAGGGTCGCTTAAGCATAGGGAAAATTTCACACTGAACTAAAATTTTAAACATTTAATGAAATAGCAACAAGTTACATTGTAAGGTGGCATGCTTCTTTTTATCTTTCTCTGTAAACTCTTAACTGTATGATTCTCTTACAACCAGCAGCTGATCATGGCCACTAAAATAATTAAGAAAGTGACTATTTGTAAAAGAACAAGACAAACAACTCTGTTGTGCCATTATCATTTTAACAATATCATATTTGTTCTTGCTTCCACATTTCATTGCAGATCCTTCTTAGTTAATTAACATCTTACATGTACATGTATAATAGCAGTATTTCACGATTTCAAAATTCTCCTGTTCTTTATAGCCCACTCTTCAAGGGCTAATGAAAAATCAAAGTCCACAGAAGGTGGCCCCTCGATGTCTATGGTCATAAGTACATCTAACCTGTTGGCTTTTAGTCTGTTTCTCAATGCATTTTTAATCCTGTTTTGGGCACTGAAGCCTCTCTCACAACAATTTCGGGGGAAAAAGCCGAAATTTTGAACATTTTGTCAAAGTATCCAGAATTGGATGAAACACTACTAAAGTGGTTTTGGGAGAAGAAGAGTCAGGATAAGTCTAAAAGTCTTTTATTTAGAATCACAATTTTGTAGTTTAAAAAAACAACGCTTTACTCAGCCGATTTCTGTCAGATTGTGTTGCAATGTTTACACAAGCCGTGGGAATGACTGCTTCTGATTGGTCAGTTTCCGATGTTGTCAAAATGAGACAAAACAAACATCTAAATCTTGTTTCTCTTATCTTTCACAAAAATTGCTGTTAGCGTATTAATTCTGCGGCTAAAACCAAATTGTTTATTGAAAAATTGTGCCGTTTATAGTCGAATTTATGTTGAATTTCAACTCTTGCAATTCTTTTTTTGGGCACAAATACTTCAGTAAAATTTGTCGCAAAATCGCTCGCTTTTTTAGGGGACAAATTGACCCCTGAATCATTTTTGGACGGGACATTTTAAATTTTATTGCGGGATTGGCGCAATGGCGCGGCCTGGCTCAAACCCTGCTGGGATATGATTGGTATTAAAAACTCACGTCACCCTTCTAGCCAATCAAATACAAACCAAATCATCGTTTTCTGTCTACCTTTTTTTCTTGCACTTTGTTTTTCACATGTTGTCTTCAACCAGATTTGGCGGGCCTTGCGATTAATCGTGGACACCGGACTCCACTATTACCCTAACTTTACCAGAGAAGACGCACTTTGGTATTTCGACAAATTTGCTTGGGATAACACGGACTTGGCGCAAAAGGAGGTGAGTTTTTTTCATCGCACTAAGCAAGAAGTAAGCTCGATTTTTCTCGAATCTGGTCTTCAATCCTCCTGAGGTATTGTTGATATTTTTCACCAATATTTGTCTATTTATTCGAGTCCTCCGAAGGACGTTTTGTTGCTAAGCAAGTGTCTCTATAGGTTCTATAACCATTACGATTCATTGGTTTGGCAAATAGCTTACGGACCCGGACCCTCTCCCTCCCTCCAAGGTGAAACGGAAGTTGCCCCGCTTCGGTTTCACCTTTTAGGGGGTGGTTACGGCTACACGTAAGCTATTTAGCAAAGGGAGGGAGGCTACTGAAGAGCGCTACAGTCTTAACTCTTCATTGCTTGCGCACATGTTTAAAAAAGCACGTGCGTGGTCTTTAGAAGTAGGGTTCGGAGCGGGTATGAAAACATGGAATTAAAGTACTGAGTCGTGGTTATCGCATTTCACGAGTAGCCACTTCGAGGAAATGTTATCGCTTCTTCAAAGCCACTTAAAAGCAAAATAGTCATTTGATTATGGTAACTTTATAAAAACAGCCGCATAGGGTAAAAAAGGAAACACTTTTTAACAGAGGCTGGGGAATATTCATTTTCTTTCAGAATAATTGCTTTTCTTTCTTTGTTTTTTCCCGCAGGTGACTCGGTACCAGAGCGACCCCGGACAAGCCACGGCTTACATGATCGGTCAGCTTGATATTAAAAGTTCCAGAGACTTTGCTAAAGAAAAGTTGCAGGAAAATTTCTCTTTACGCGATTTTCATTACCAGGTGAAGATTGATTTGAGTGTCTTGCATGTATGTAGTTACTTTTTTCTCAATGCGTGAGCGGGCAGTATTCCACAAATCCTACCGCTTCGGGCGGTATCCGAGACCTTACGCACAGTTTTTCCCTATACGGACCTTCCGGCTCGTGAATAACATATACATATATCTTTTACTGAAAGATGTCATTCATTCGTGAACTTCGCTTTTTAACTATGTTAATATGTTAAATGTACAGGAAATGTTGTTTTCTCTCTTTGAAAATTGGTCCTCAGATGTATAGTTACTCCTTTTCTCAGTGATAGTACATGATTCCAATAACAGGTGATCGGAATCGAACAATTCATCATCTGGAAGTTCTTATCTTAATGTTATACCAGTTTCTTTTGACTCACTTACCCCGAGATGTATAAATGCCAGAAAGGAGATTTTAAGGTTAAAACCTCATACGGAGAAGAAATGGAAAATGCGTCATTAAATATTTTCTCGCCCACAAACGTTAAGCATTTAACTCCCATGAGCGACCAAGACTGAATTTCTCCTTACAACATCGATAGAATATCAAGCTGATAAGTGATGAGAATAAACAAACATATCAATTAGGGGATTATTAGTTGATCCAATATCAAAATTTTCCAAATCACACCCAGAGAATTGTATGGCATCCTCGCTTTTCCTATTTTTTAGGTTCTAGCACAAGGGTCCTCACCACTCGCTTACCTCAAGGACCACATCGAGAGGTACGTTGATTGTGTGCAAGACAATGCAAAGGAAGGGTGTGCCGTCATCCTTAGTGCGCCAAAGAAGGCTTCTGTTGCAAAGCGACGAGTAAAGGGTAGCCGCTGGCCAGTCATACCACGACCACATCAACACTACTTATAAACAATTTAATATTCACAACAAAGATGCTTTAATATCAGCGAATTATGAAATTTTTCATTTACATAAGTTTACATCACCTCCGGATTTTATGTTTTGTGTATTTATCGAAGTAGATTGAAATCATGACGTCCTGATATTTAAAGCATACGTTTTCTGTCAAAATCACGGTCTTTTACTCTGATTTTATAGAGATGTTGCAATTTCATAACATATTGGTTCCTTGTGTAAGATTCGACGTTTATCCTTAGTTGTCTCGTATTGGGTCAACTGCAGCCGCTTACAGAATGTTTATAGGGATACTTGACATTTCTGAGGTGTCTGAGCCTTTTAAGAAAGTGTTTGAGATCCTACAACCGAAATATTGAGTTTCCAAATGTGCCCGCATTTGGAGAACACTAGATCCGCGGTAAGGCACATTAGTATTAATTAATTTGTTGTAAAAATACATTTTGCCCTTGACCATACAACAGCGAGTCGTATGCAATAATGCATTTTATAAATCGTTTTATGGAAAAAAAATTAATCTTACAATATAATAAGATTCCTTTAATCAGATTTGAAAACCGAATCCCTCACATTATTACATGCTTCTCCGTGGGTAAATATATGGGCTCATATAAGTCTGACGCGAAAATGTGCTCATAATTTTGCAAGTCGTACCAGAGAGTACTTAAAAGGTTCCCATCCCCACTTTGCATCATTTTTTGTACAAAGACTGACATTGTGTTGGAAATAAAGTCGGAAAAGCTGAGGAACATCGCTAGTTACCCCCAAGGACTGGTTGGGTTATATTTTATAGGTGACGTGACGCGTGTTCAAGCACACACGAACACAATTATTTTGTGGATTTTTAATCCCTAAAAGGTGCGTCTCATTTTTCCACTCCATGTCCATCATTGTAGATTGAAGTTGGTGTACAATTTGTTTTTACATCCTTTGTAGCTTTGAAATGTTTTTTTCTTTTTTTTGACGAAGGTCAAACTTGTCATACTTGGTATCTTTTCATTTGAAGAGAGCCGCCTAACATTTCTTAGACTTAAAACGCAAACCTCCTTTGCGATAAGCGTATTCGGTGATCAGCGTCTGCGAAATTAAGCCACAGCATAATATTGCGCAGTCTCTGCTCGAGCAAAGTTGTTCATTAGAACCGGCTTTGAATCTTTGACGATCCCTGTTTGGAGTTTGTCCATTAACAATTACCTTCATTATTAATATAACACGTAACACAAAGTGACGGTATTGACAGGAGCCAATCACATCGATCGTTATCGCCTCACACACAAATATTACTGCGTCAAAATGACAACTTGCGAGCTCATTCTTTGTTCACATTGTAAACAAAAAATAATGACAATGACTAGTTCTACGGATTTGTGAATAACTAACAGACTACATTAGGAAAGAGAGCGCGTATGGTTGTAATTATTTCATATTTTTCCGTCCCCTTTTTTCTGCTTTCCTTGCCACACCTTGCGTCCAAACCTCTTTAGTCCTTGATTGAAAAAGAAAAAAAAAATGTTCGCCTTGCTGTTCCTGAGTCATATGTAAAGTTTTAGGAAGGCCTATCACCTCGACTTAAAAGTACTTTGTTTTTTACAATCAGACGTAATTTGACCTGTGGGTGTGAGTCATGCCCAGATTAAGCTACTCCATTTGTTATTGTAGTATATGTTTCTCTAGCCCTATCAAGTCGCTATCGCTCTTAGGGGGTATATATCAGACTTGTGGGGAGGACCTGTGACAGGTCGTACAAGGCGCAGAAAGGTTTCGAAGCATCTTGTGGTCAGAGCTCGTAGTAGCGTCCTAGCTGATTAATCATGGAGTTTTCCAAAAGCTCCGAAAAGATGGTCATTCCAGATTCGGAAATAAAGGTTTCAGGAGGGCGATCGAAAGAGAGAATGATCACAATGGCAATTTTTTGTATAGGTGTCATCCTGTTCATCGTGGGAATCGTGCTGATTGCAGTTGCAACAGCCGACAAGAATGAGACCGAGAAATCTGCAGGCAATTCATCCACTGATAAACAAGGACAGACCGAGGAAACCACTGCACCCCCAACAGAGGCAACCATTGCAACAACAACAACAAAGACACCCCTTACAACAACGACCCAAGCTCCTTCAGGTCAATGTGATTTCTCTGAAGAGGCACAGCGAGTGGAGCTTGGCGAGTTCCTAAGTCGAGTGAAAGCTACATACTACAAACTTCATCCCTACGAGGTTTATTGGAACCCTGATGCAACCCCGAGCGAGATCCGACAAGAATTTGTTGCCTACGATCCTACTCCGTCTGTGATTAAAAATCGAACCGACACTGCCCTGGAATTGCTAAAGGAAATCAGCGATACGAAAATCATTGCTGATGCGTTACAACCCCGAGAAAGGAAAGCACTAGCTCAGGTGAAGCACTATCTGCAGCATATATTCGGCCAACCTTATGACGTAAATTACTATGCAGGAGACTGGATGTTGGGACCGAATTTGTTTTGCTGGCAGGAAATCTGCTACCATGGATATGCTGTTCATAATGGCATAGGGCTGCACCACAAACCTTACAATGCATCCGACGTGGAGCTCATAGAAAAGAAGCTCAAAACTCACAAAGCAGGCATTTTGCAATACATCGAGAACATGAAGATGGGAGTACGGAAAGGAATGGTCAGAAGTATAGAAGAGTGTGAAGCTGGTATTAACACAATCAAAAGACAGTATTTGAATGTTTCACGATACAACGCAACAGGTAAGGAGATAGGAAGTGATAGCTTTTCAACGAGTTTCGTTGCGCAATATTTTCATCCATAACTATGTGACACAACCTCAAGAAACTAGAAGAGACCACTAGTAATTTAATCTTGAATTCAGACATGTGGCAGGCGTTGATAAAGGGTTCGCATTTAACAGACGGCCGTTTGTGTTCTTCACCAAAACACCCTTCTTCGAGGGGAGCGTCGGGATTCTCGGTTTAGCGGTTTTGGCTATTTTTTAGATCGGTGTTTCGTTTTTTAGGATTTGGTTTTCGGTTTTCAGTAGAAAAAAAAAACAAAAAAAACCACACACACATAATGGGATTCTGAGATTTGGTATCCGATATGATTTACAGTTTTTCCCATTTCGGTTCTGGTTTTTCCTCAATGTGAGTGCCAATTATGCGCTTCCACTGATCTCGAATAGTCGCGAAACCTCTGTAAGTTGCACTTGTCACTGACTGTATCGGATCGTAAGGGGTTTTGATAACTGGGATGTCAAAATTTATCGGTATGGACGGTTTTGCATGCGGTTTTGGTTTTGATCGAATTTTTTGCGGTTTTGGATGATTTTTTTTCCCACTTTTTGCGGTTTCTAATAGAACCCAATGCCCCCTCCTATTCATTTTTGAGGCTAAAGTCAGGAAATGATGACTGAAAGATGTCATTAATTAACAACTGAATGTTTTACTACGAGTGATCCGTTTATACTGATGTTCTTAACAGCTGTAAGCGACTGAGCGGCGCAAATTCCCTTTGGGGATGAAATCTCTATCGTTTTCCATGGTCACGCAAATAAAGTTAAGATCAGCCAGCGATTTTTAAAAATTAGGATACTCTTCTCCACTGCAGGTATGGTCGAGGCGATCATGGCATGAATAAATATCTCGTTTTGTGGACAAGTTATCTGATAGCGGCCAGTACTTGACTTGCCATGAGATAATAGAAAGCCTATTACTTACGCGCGTTCAAATTCGTGTGATCAAATTCTGTTGTGCAAGCTTGCCCCACTTTTCATTGCGCAATCTATTGATACGTGTGTAGGGATTAAAACATAGCAGTTTCGCTTGGTAAAACATTCAAATTACGGCGTTGAAAATGTTTCCAAACGATTGGTTGATATGTCAGCCGTGCCATCATCGAGATATGAAACACTTGGAGAGCTTAGAGAGCACTCGAGATGCTTGAATTTCTGTAGCTTCGTCTCGAGCAACTTTCATCCATCTTTCGTGCTCTCAAAACCTTAGAAGCGCTTCATTTATCGATAAAAGTAAGCGAAAGCTCGAGCCAGTTGCTCATTATTGCCCCTTTGGAACAGTGATTTTTCAAAGTTAATTTAGAAGTGCGGCGTTCTGTTACAAGCAAACCTTAAACCTGATCGAAAAAATAAATGTTTCGAGACACTCTCGATAGATGGACGACTCAAATAAAACAGATGTTTGTAATTGAATGACCTTTGATGTCAAAACAGCAATCAAAAAAAAAAAAAAGAAGAAGAAATGTCGCCACCGTTTTTTAAAACATTTTAATATCAATGAAATTTCACTTCAAATCGATTGAAAACATTTACAATGAGGCGAGCGCTTGGGGAATAAATTGAATTGCATGTATTCAACTTCAAGTCTTGCGCAACTGTCTTCAGAAACGGTTTACATATGAATCAAAGTGACCATGAAAATGAAAAGGTCTAAAATTCAATCAGCTGGTCAGCGGAAAGATAATTACGTTTCTACGGTCGTGATTTGGTTCTGTTTAACTTTGTTTATCAATCACTAATTGTTACTGTAAAATTAACAATTTTGATTTAGATTTATCACATATCAACTATGCGGGTTATTTCGATTGATAAGCAATTGGAAGTGAATTTATCTCAAATGGTTTTGATCCGATGACCATTTGATATGTTGACTTAATAATGATAGTATTAATATTAATTTTTACTTTATAAATAGTGATAATTTAAATATCACGAAACGAAAAAGTCGAGAGAACTCCAGCTTCTGTACTAATCTCAAATGTGAGAATCGTTCGGCATTTTGGTTTTCTTGGCGTCAAACAGGAAATCGAAAGCCTGCTCGGAGATTGAGGCTGGAGAGGACATGCTTTATCAGAACTTGTGCACAGAAGTCTCATCCGTTGCTATTTCACCGGAAATCACCCCCAGTATCCTCCCTGGGAACCCTAGTTTTCTCACGATTCCATACAAACTTGTTTAACCATTGCAGGCGTGCTTAAAGCATGGTTTGTGAAACCAATACTGGATCCTGATTTCTACAGTAACATCACAGAAGAGACTGAAACAGCCTGGAAGGCGGCACACGGCGAAAAAAATGTCAGCGATAGTATAAAGGAATATCTGGTGACATATGTGGGAGAGCCACTTGAACAGATGTTAAGGTATGAGAGTAAAACTTTCTGTGTTTTGTGAAACTATGTTTCGATTTTTTTAAAGTCATTTTTGCGACTTGTAAGATTATCTGAGTGACAGGCGTTCGACTGGAACTCGCGTTACTCACTTGTCGGTTTGCACAACTCGTGCCCGTTTAAGCTACGTAGGTTACTTGCAAGACTACCGAATATCAATGTGGTTAGAAAGAAAAACACTAAGATGTGATTATTAAACCAAGAAGATACAAAGCTGGCTTAGGAGGGATATGATTACTAAGACTAAAAATAAGGAACTAAAAAAATGTATATGTTTATACAACGCGAGCGTTTGTTAATTCTATAATTAACGCCCATTAGGGGTTATCATTTAGCGACAAGAATCAATCCTTTCTCCGGTTGTTTTGTCCCTTCAAATTAATCATATTGTAAAGAGCCTTCGGTATATGGTCTCTTTAGAAGGAATGAAGAGTTACTATTTGTTAGGGAATCTCTTGCTTGAAAAATTGAAAAAAATAGAGGTGTTTACAATTTTACTACACCTGAGAAAACCAAAGGGAGAACCACAACAAATAAGGGTGGCGGTTTGAAGTATCAGTTAAATTTTCTGTTTGCTGCTGATTTTTTTTCCTAATAATTTTGCTGCACTTTTCTTCTGTCCTTTAAATTAGATGAGATGATGTTTAATTATGTCAACTTTCAGGTACATTGAATATGAACACTTTCGTCATTGCGTTCCAAGCAACGTATCTAGCGGTTTAGCTGGTCTTCCGCTGAAGTATGTTTGGCTTGATGGCAAAGAGAACACGTCCCAGCCCACAGACCCACTCTTGCCCACAGGTGAAAAGTTGAATGGATCGTTCGCCTATTCCAAAATCATGTCGTACTTCACAACAAATGACATGACTCCGATGGAAGTTCATGAGCTTGGAAAACGGCAGCTCGCTATTCTCTATCCTATGGTAAGGAACATTTCGGTTTCAGAAGTCTTAGAACCCTTATGTTTAGTTCACTAAGCATAAGGGTTTGGCTTTGCGCATTTCCCTCAGATCACTTTAAATTAATTGCCTTTAAGTTGACCGGAGTAGCCGATGATCCTGGCTTGCCTTATCGCATGTCACTTTTGGTGGTTGCCTTGGAATAGAAACCAAACTCAAAAGAAACACTTTACAATCCAGGGAAATTTAGCATTATCAACTGCGTTGGCAACGTAAATTGGCCTCCGTAAAGATTTTAAAAGCTGACGTTTCTAGCGTTAGCCCTTCATCCATCCCTATGACGAAGGGCTGACGCTCGAAATGTCAGCTTTTAAACTCTCTGCGATGGCCAATTTACGTTGTCAACGCAGTTGGTAATACTACTACCCTGTTATACTCTCCCACCGATGCACCACACTTTCCTTAGAAACTTACCCCCTTTACTCGCTTTTCAATCCCTTTATCGTCAATATTTTCGTAACTTTAAGACTTGTTTCAACTGATCTGTTAGTAAAAAGCTACTAAAAACGTTAGGTGGTTAACTCTACGCTTTCCTGCCCCTCTGCCCCACCCTACACTTTCAGTGACTGTTAACATGATGTGCCGCTTCCGAACTGAACATCCCCAGTCCAGGTTCTTTTGAGCTGCATTTCATCGAGTCGGAAAAGCAACAGTATATAAATGTCTTTCAGTCTTTTATATCCAACCGTTTTCTACTGCAAAGAGAAACTACCTGCATCAAAATCAACTTGATAATCTTACCTATAAAAAAAATTGCAGGTTGTGTTACCTTTTGCTGAATCATTTACAGGTTGTCGATGTTGCAAAACTTGTTACCGGAATGAACGATAGTGACACAGCAGTAGCGATGTTCAGAAAAAAACTAAACTCATCTGAGAGTTATTTCAATCCGGAACCAATCCCTAAAAATGAGTCTGATAAAGAGGCACACAAGAAATGTAGCGATATTGAAGGAGCCAAAAAGTATTGTCCCAAGCGATGGGCTGCTCTAGAGCTGTGGATGGCGGAATCTAGGAAGGTGGGTTCATCCAATTTGTTACGTAAAATTACTAAGTCCATCTGCTAGGTCTTGGAAGCCAGGTGACTTCCACATGAAAAGCGTGCGATAATTATTTTACGCAATTTTATCCTTCCCTAATGCGAGGTTTGAACAAAAATAAATGCTTATTTCAGTGATAAGTTTTCGAGTATTTTTACTGTTGTTGTTGTTGTTTGTTTGCTTCATTTAATTTTTGGTGGTTTTTCTGAGGAAATTTCAGGTAGAGGTAAAAACGATTAGTTTTTGTTTTACCCGGTGTAGGTGATGAGTTTGCTGTCACCAAAGACGATTCCCTTATTCCACTTTACTGGGGACTATGCGACTACACCCATCTGCCCGGTTGATATGCAGCCCAATCTGAATCCGTCCAGTGGAGCTCAAAGCTATCGAAGTGCGGGTTCAGCCTGCACAAGGAGCGCCAAGTACAACCTTCCATTTTTCTTGGAAAATTTGGGTCCCAGGTTTTCTGAATGGAGCGTGAACGCACACGAGGCGAGGCCAGGACATCATACACAGGTTAGCCCTTCGTCAGAGCGATTGAAGGCTGACACTTGAAAATTCGGCATAGAAACTCTTTACATTAGCCAATTTGCACTATCGACTCGGGTGATAATACCGAATTAATCTTTTTATGCTCCTCCACCGACGCAGCAACACTGTTCCTTTAGAAACTTACCCCTACACTAATTTGATACATTATTATCGGCTTTGTACCTTTCACTGAGTCGATTAATTAATTCTTGGCTATACATAACGGCTTCTATGAATTGTTTCTCAGGTTCAGGGTAACGTGGAACACTTCCGTGACATTTGCGGCGGTGTTATTGGTTGGCTTGATAGTGTCACGTACTACACAGCGTTTACAGAAGGGTGGGCTTTGTACGCTGAAAACCCACTAATAGCCCAGGACACAGACACTTATAAGACAGAACCTATGCAGAAGTTTGGAATGCTGAAGTGGCAGGTAGGATTGGACGCAATGTGGTCTACTGTTTCACGAAGAAACTGGTAAATAGTATGCTTGATAAGGTTTGATCGCTGTCCAGCGTTCTTCACAGCTTGGTGGTGTCACCACTGTTTTACATATAGTTCATGCCAGAGGATACATAAGGCGAATGCAGAGGTTTAATTTTAACTTTTGCACTTTTAATTCTGCCTCAAGGTATGGCGAGCACTTCGTTTGATTGTTGACACTGGTTTGCATTACGTTGGATTCTCGCGGGATAAGGCCCTGGAATACTTCAGTAAATATGCTTGGGACGATACAGACCTTGCAAAGAAAGAGGTAAAAAATTGAAGGGGGTCATTGGTTTATTAGCGCTAAGGAAATCCAAAATCTTTCTTCCTCCAGACTCCTACATATGTAGTACAAGGCAATAACATAAAGGAAGTTGAGAGATGGTAAACCGCTAAGGAAGTAAAGAAATATTTGACTGGTCGCCAATACCAAAAGCTTATGATTCTTACTACTTTATTTGTGTTTGGAACCGTGTGACCCTCGGCTTTAACTTTAGTTTATGATTGGCTGCAAAACTTTGTTGATTTAAGTCTTAACAATCAAACACACATCATTCTGACTCGTTCTGCCATGACAACTTGTGTTCATTACCCATGTTGTCTCCTTTCTGTCGACTACTTTCAGGTGACTCGGTATCAGAGCGACCCAGGACAAGCAACCGCTTACATGATTGGTCAGTTGCAGATCAAGAACGCTAGAAATTATGCCAAAACTGAATTGGGAGACAATTTCAGTTTGCGAGACTTCCACTATCAGGTAAATCTAATTGTGTAAGTTGGTCTAACAATACGTTTGCTTTAAAGACGTTCATAATGAACTTAGTATCGCCCCTAAAAGAACTTTCCTTGGAAATTAGAGCGAAAAGAAGAAAGTACGAGTGCGAAATTTCGAGGGGACAGCACATGAATGAGTCTTTCACTCAGCGAATTTAGATTTCTGGCAATAACAGCTTCGATGTGATGGTTTCAATGGCCAAAAATTACCAAAAGTTTCCCACGCCAGTTTGTGGTGCTGCACTGATTTTGACGGTTTTTCTCTAGGTTCTTGCTCAGGGGTCTTCTCCTCTAGCGTACCTATCTGATCACGTGAAAAAATATGTGGCGTGCGTCAAGGACAAAAAGAAAACAGGCTGTGATGTCATCCTGAAACCACCAAAGAAAGAGGAGGAAAAGGAGAAGGCAAAAGTAGGCCGCTGGGAAAAGATACCGAAACCCATTGTGCACCATATATAATGTATAAGTGAACAACAAAGAATGACAGAAGGATGCTTTTGTGATTTAAATAAGCCACGCACCTTAATGTAAGCTCTGCATCACTAAAACGTTTACATAATAGATTCTGTTGATTTAGTTTGAATGACCATGAACAACTGTGCGTTTATTGTAGTGGACGGTGATGGTGAAGAGTGAACTCCAGCCTGAACACATTTAACATGGCTTAAGTCCTCAGTTGTAATTATCTTTAGCGTGAGACGTTTCTTGTCCGTAGCATTTATTATACTACCCATTATATCGAAATGATTCCTCGTTTTTGTAAATTTAACAAGCGAGTTTTAGGTGATGTAGCATCTTCACGATTGTTTAGATACATTTTGCGAACTTGCAAAACAAAAGTTTGTCTGTATAGGCTTGATTAGAATTTAATTTTATCGTATTCTCCAACCATTAGGGCGAAATGAATTAATCATCTGCATTTCAAAATAGTTAAAGGAAAAGGAATATTATGTTTTAGATTTGTTGATTTGCCTTTGTTTTAATGAAGTACCAACCCCTGCACCAACCCTCCAGCTTAATCCCCCTTGTTGTGTCATTAAAAATAAGTTATGCGATTAAAGCGCAAACATACAGTAAATCCACTTGTGAGAAACTGTTCCCCCTCTCAAAACCTCAAGTTCCTCTAGGTGACACTTGCCCCTTACCCCTTACAAATGAATGAAAACAAGTTTTCTTATCAACTTGCATTCACTTAAGACGCAGAATTGACTTTCAATTGAAGATTTTACCGTGGTATGTGATTTTCCAAAGAAACAAACTTTCCCCTGTGGTTATGGCTGAACGTTGAAACAATCTTGCTAATGTTAGAAATCGTACTGCATAAAGAAGTTTATGTATATTTGCACTTTGTTTGCACGACACGAGGCTTTAGAGTGAGTATACTAGCTACAGGTTAGGTTGTCTCACGTGATATAGTAGTTTCATTTTCTTTAATTTAGCCGCGTCAAGTCTGATCAGAGAAGAAAGAGGGCAAGGGGCTGTTGAGTACATGCACTTACTTAGTCTGGAGGATATTTACTCCTGAGGTTATCTTAAAGTTCCGAAAAAGAGTATTGTAGATTCGAAAAAGTACAAAGTGACCACATTGTGAGACAAACGATAATATTTTTTTCTTTTGAAGAGTCATTTACCACGATGACTAACCACAGCCTATTTTATTATTTAGGTATATAGTTAACCTGTTATACTTCTTGCATCAGATAACACCAAAGCCATGATTCGAAGTAATGGGGAATCCAAACATTTTCACCATTTATTTTCCCGGAAGTGTTTCAAGTTAAGTCTTTTGCATTAAATCAGGCATTACCCAATTTTTACAAAATTAAGTGGCGATCTCTGTATAAGAGCGGTCCAAGGCGTTTCGCATCGTACAAAAAGGTTCGCCTCAAACCTCGTCCATTAAACTATCCTTGGTAGTAAGTAAAAAAAACTACCTTAGTTTCTGGAAATACGTTTAAAAAAAATTGAGAGCTCTCAATAATCAAAGTTGTAAAAGGCCCTTTTTTAACCTCTTGCGCCATCGAAATTTTCAAAAGTTGACAACACGCTGCATGCAGCAAGAAATCGTCGGACAGCTTTCTGGTATTGGCCAAAAACACTCTTTCTTTCTTTATTGGGTGATATTTCTCAAGTCCAGACCAAACCATCGAAAACTCCGGTTGATTTCTTCTAATAACATATTCGAAAGCATGGAAATGTAAAAACATCTTACACTTAATAGTTTCTTTCGCCATAGTGACTTCAGAATTTTGGTGATTTTGATTATGGCGAACCTCTGAATAAACACGTCAAAATTGAACTGCTTTCCAAACCCCGTATATATGACACAATTTAGGAATACAAACCATTTCTTGCTGCATGCAATGTGTTACGAGGAGCGAACTTGTCAACTTTTGAAATTTACGATGTCGCAACAGATCAAAAAGGAGCTCTAGCATCTTTGATTATTGATAGCTCTCAAAATCTTTTTTAAACGTATTTCCAGAAACCAATGTAGTTTTATTTACTTACTACTAAAGATAGTTTAATGGACAAAGTTTAAGGCAAAACTTTTTTTTTCCATTCGAAACGCCTTGGACCGCAATTACAGAGATCGCCACTTAATCAGAGACCAACAATGTTATAAAGGTTTCAAAAGTCCTGTTAAAACGATACCCCATCACCTTCGTCATGGCATAGTGGCAAAAAATGGAATCTTAGACTCCGGCTGGATCCTACGTTTCACGGTTACATCCCAGACGACATTACTTTGTTAGGGGGACCTCGACAACGATACCTGCACTAACATCTTCTTGCACAGTGGGCATTCAAGAGCGTAAGCTGTCAATAGAGGTTCAGCCCCCACAAGCTGCTAAAACAGAAAAAAAAATCACAAAAAAAAATCACACACAGTAGCCTCTATTTCGCTCGGAAATATAGCGCCGCGACACGGTGTCGGTTCCCTTCGCACGCTCGTGGATGGAGAAATATCTCGGCACGTTTACGTGCCAGATGTAGGCAGTTGATTATGGCATGTTGTAATATGGCGGTGTTTCATCAGTTAGGTTCTCAAATCAATATTTAAAATTTAACAGTTGTTGAAATTCATGCGTTGTCACAGGAGTAAACTTCGAATAAAGTCGATCTGAGTTCGAAGTGTTTTTTTGATTTTTCTTTTGTTTTTCCTTTGAGGGCGATTAGTTACTTTTGAGTCAGAATTCTCTGCTCTTGCTCTTGTTCTTATCATCATATTAAATCATCATCATATTATAAAGTGTGTCACTCTCATCATAAACTTTTTTCCCAGAATCAACATCAAAGACAGAAGGTTTACAATTCCATTGCATCCAGCATTTGATGAACTGTAAATGCGATCGTATGTCTAATAAATGAAGAACGATACTTACTCGATATCCCAGGACTTTAACTCTTAGCCACATGATCTTAAGAGATTTGAAGTGTGTAACGTTTTGAAAGACAATTGAGGCTCATATTAATTCAAAAGTGAAATATTGATCTAATTACTGCATTTATGGTGTGATACTATTTACGAACCCTGCACTCATCCCCGGTCTCTAAGGTAGTGGCTAATTCAATCGAGGGGCAACAGCCAATTGCAACCGTTTTTATAAATGGTTAATGGTCATTAATAAATCTCATGTATGGTTCAGCGCAAACGCTTTTTATCAAATACTGCGAGGTAGGTTCAGTTGAGGGATTCTATACAAAGATAAGCATCATGGAGATGAATAAAAGCTCAGAAACGGTGTTTTCCGACGAAAAAGATGTCAAATCTGCCGCAAGTGGTTTTTCGGCCGGTAGAATTGTGTCAATCGTCATCTTGGCCGTTGGTTTAATCTTCCTTCTTGCAGGAATTGTGCTAATTGTACTCGCAGTGAACAACGATAAGAAAGCCACAGGGCAGCGAGATCAAAACAACTGCGATTTTTCGAGAGAAGCCAATCGAGTTGGTCTTGGTGAGTTTCTTAGTCGTGTGAAGGCGACGTATTATAAACTTCATCCTTATGACGTGCACCGAGACCCAGAAGTAAAAACAGAAACGATCAAAGCGGAGTACTCTGCTTATGATCCAACACCATATATGATTAAAAAGCGGACGGATACTGCTCTGGCTTTGCTGAAAGAAATCAATGATAAAAAGATCAACGAAGACACGTTGAAACCCCGCGAGAGGAAGGCACTTGCTCAGGTAAAGCATTTTCTGCAGCACATATTCGGTCAGCCGTATGATGTTAATTACTACAATGGAGACTGGATGATGGGACCGAATTCGTTTTGCTGGCAGGAAATTTGCTTTCACGGGTACGCCGTTAATATGTCACTAGGTAAACATCACAAACCTCACAATTCTTTTGATGTGGAGCTAATCGAAAGAAAACTTAAAACTCACAAAGCTGGCATTTTGCAATTCATCGAGAACATGAAGATGGGAGTACGCAAAGGAATGGTCAGAAGTGTAGAGGAGTGTGAAGCTGGTATTAACACAATCAAAAGATACTATTTGAATGTTTCTCTATACAACGCAACAGGTAAGGAAAAAAGGTGAATGTTGCGTAACAGTTGATTAACCATAAGTATATTACACCGTCCCAAGGACATGGATAGGACCATCAGTAATTTAATCCTGAATTCAAAATTGCTGAAGGTTTGTTGAAGGGTTCGAATTTAACGGACTACACTGCCACGGCCCTTAAAAAATAATTTGGCTGAGCAATTAAGAAAGAAATTCTTTAAGTTCCACGAATTGCTCATCGAAGTGAGAAATACACGAGTTGTTTTCAAGGTACATGTATATATTTGAAACTTTGCGTGCGCTCTTAATAAAACCACTATAAATCTATTCACGACGTTGTCGAGGATGCATTGCTTTTAAGATACAGTATTGCAATTACGTATAGGCTTCAAGGTTTTAAGTCGTGTGGCAATCCGATCAACAAAGATACCGCCATGAGTAAATAGCTAAATAGACAAATAAACAGGAAAACTTAATTTGGCCCCTGTTACAGACCTTGATCGACCAATAAAGTTTTATGGTCCATGCGAAACATTTTAAGGCTTCGGTGAATATTCTAATATTAAGTTAGAAGTGGCTGAAATATTAGTTTAGATGTTTGGCTTCCATACATCGAGTGTACAAGTTTCTAACTCTTTCAGATGAATTGATTATCCAAAAAAAAAGTAACCTTGAAATTAGTAAACTTAGTTGCTGAGCTCTGAGGCCAGTCCATACTTCCAACCAAAAGAGACATGGACACTTTGATCAATACTGTTTTGTTGTCCTTTTGTGTTGTGGGCTTTAAAATGAAACTGATCATCCGCGGTACTTTCATTGCAGGTGTACTAAGAGCGTGGTTCGTTCAACCCCTGATGAATCCTGATTATTACAGCAACATCACAGAAAATACGGATAACAAATGGAAGGCGGCGCACGGTGGAAAGAATGTCAAAGAAACTATCAAAGAATATCTGGTGACTTATTTAGGAGAACCGCTTGAACAAATGTTAAGGTACAGTATAATTACACTTAAAGAGCACAATATGAGGTGCATCTTAATAAGCTCAAACTTGGTTCGAACGATTTCCTTTTACGAATTTTTTTTCTTTTTCTTAATGCTTTTTGAACTCGACTGTGACTTTTTGCTGAGATCAGAGTTCCATAGCTTGTGGAACTGGGTGTTCATCACGTTCATTAGGCACCTATATTCGGAAAATTATCCGGCTAACTTTCGATGGCCTTAGCAACTGATTTGTTTATTTAGCACGCGAGGAACAGAAATTATCCGTTACTTTACTGTAGTACACCCCATGAAGGTTATTAATGTTCTTCGAACGCGCTAACTGACGAGTTCGGAAGTGATTAGCAAGTACTTTTACTATTTGGCCCCGAGCACCCAAGAAGGCAAAATCTCACGTGAGATTTAGAGTTTGATTTCCGACCATTTTCCAATATATTTCCA